TTTTCTAACAAATGCAGATACTTGTATCTCTTGTATACAGTTAGTATCAGAGTCATAGATTATTTGACTTGGACCTGAATATTTTACTTTGCAGATTTCGTTCTCATTAATACCTTTGACAAATATATCAAATGGATCTGCAGTCATAATATATGAGTTTAATACCTGTTCTTTAATTGTAAATTTTAATAATATCATTCGCTTATCTTGATCTATAAGACAGGTCTCTGGATTAGCATATCTCATTTGACATCTCGGATAACACGGCAAAGAAAAATTAGCAAAGTATAATAAATTTCTAGAAACCCTATTGTCATGCCAATCATTAGATATACTTCTGATTTGGTCTCGAGTGGACAATAAATTTGCTGCTAAATTTGATACAATCATTGTAAGGTTTGGTAGATTTTCAGCTAAGTATTTAACATTTGTTATAACTTTATCTATTTTGTCGTTAAGCAATAAAGTCTGTTTCTGAAGTATTTCTATAGATTTAATAATATTAGGTTGATTTTTAATTAATTTATCCATATTAGATCTCATTATATCAAAGCGATTTTCAAGTTTATCTATTCGACCTGATAGTTCTCTAACTTCTACTAATGCTGTTGTGCCGATACCGACTGCGGTAACAACTGCACCTAATATACCGAAACCTACTAAAAGTAATGAAGATAACCGTTTTTTCCTATAATGTTCAGTTTCATAATCTAATGATTGACTCTTACAGAAATCAGTTAAAGGTATTAAATATGATTCTCTATATAAATGTTTACACCATTCTGTTAATTTGTTAGCAGTATGCTCATCGGTAATATCATGAAATATAAAACAAGGTGATTTATATTTGATAAATAATACTACTTGATGAGTGCCATTAATAAGTGGCTCAGGCTCTTTATGCCAAATAATTGGAGAGCCTCTTTCTAATTGACAATTACAATATGTCATAATATAAAATACAATTATAATATACATTCTTATAGCTATATTATATATTGAGATCTATCAATTTGTAATTGAGTGATATAATTATTATTCCATGCAAAAATATTTGCAACTATTGGGGAAATAGTATTATTATTTAAAACAAATCTGATATACCATGTTTGATATTTTATAAGTCTATCTTTAATTTCATATGTTATCATAGAGATTAAGTGTTTTATATAATTATTGTTAGTATGTAAAAGTAAAATTTGACTATACAACTCCATTCTAACATTTATCAACTTTACTATTTCTGTACATACTAAAATACAATAATTAAATACAGATTTTTCTAAAATGTTGTATTCACGTAATTCGAAATATTGTCTTAATTTATTTTTAACATAAGATCTATTAAGTAGATCAAGAAAAGAAAAGTCTTTAAGTTTAGGTAAATATACCCAATTAGGATTCATACTACAATTATAACTTGCAATTGAAATACAGGAAATCGCTTAATTAGTTAAGACCGCTTAACTACTAAGGTTAGAATGAGCTCAAGATTTGAAAAAATAGTAATAATAATTTCAATCTACACTCTATACCGGAGCACCTCCACCATGATGTAATGAGTAGATTTTATCATTACTGTTATAACTATAATATATCCTATTTCTATACCGTTTCAATATTATTTTAATAGCATTGCCATTTATATCTGGAAAGTGTTGATTATTTAGATGTTTCATGAGAATTTTTGGGGTGAGTTACTCGCTTCACTTTCCATGCAATGATTTCACGTAAACCACTGGAATGGCCGCCACTATTGGCACAGTACTCTTGTAGTGGTTTAGGTTGTCTTAATTGTACATTGGGCACAATATTAGCTTTTACTACACAATTATTAATACAATCTATGTCTGATTGATCGTAAATTAAGACATTACTACTTTGCGGACCAATTATATAAAAGGTATTATCTCTGGTCCTGAGATTATTTAATTCAATTTGACCTTTACTATCAAACGAAACACTATTCAATGTTAAGACAGACTCATTGTTTTGAGAGTTAAGACTCGAAGTCTGTACCACTCGGGTCTGGTCAGAAGCTCTGAGACCAGCAAAAACTATTTTACTAGTTTGGTCACTCACTACACGTGACACAACTATAGTATACTGAAGACAGGACGATACAGTGTTATCAGTATCCATACAATGGCTGGCTAGCCGCAACACTTGCGCTAAAACAAACAAAAACCGACATTACTCAATGACAACAAATGTCTTGTCGCAATTATAAACTGGTAACTAAAACATAACGATTGACTAACTGGTCGGGCCCTACCAATAATTGCCAACGAGAGAAGCCTCAAAGCCTCCCTCTAACCAAAACATGCAACTCAATACCCAATCTACTAGTAAGACTGAGTCTAAGGGTCAGTACCATCACTCGGTACTACCGTCGGTAAAACCGGCGTATAGTCTATTCAAATACCCACTATAGGATAAGTAATGCTATACCCGTTGACCAACCCTGTGGCCAAACTATAAATCAGAGTCCTCTGACTCTGATGACATAACCATGGGATCGTCACAAGCAATCTCTGGGGGAATCTAACCCATCTATGTCTCTCCAGCCGTGCCTACCCGGCACTAAATAAAGGCGTTTAAACACTAGTTAAACCCTACCCAACACTCGTCGGTGAAATGTGATAACACCCGAAACCTTTGTTACGGTGACTATCACTGGACTACTAATCTGTACTGTATAACATTACAACAGACAACAAAATTACATTCAACTAACATACATAGACAAGGACTATATTAGACAAAATTGTATGTGTGGTGGCGTCAATGATAAGGCGCTCATTAACTACAGCAAGCGGTGTCGCGTACACAACCGCCGCCGCATCGGTCAACGAATGCATCGCCGGAGAGTCACCGATCACATAAATTAACATAAATCTATAGAAACACATCATACACTCAATTACGATAAAGACAATACATGACCGACAGATTGCTGACAGTATTACATAATTATCGTAACATTTCTATTATCTCACATACGGTATTCAGTTAAATCTGGTCAGACATAACTATGTCGTCTCTGGGGTCAATTGACATCACCTATAGGTTTTTGGCCGTGATATTGTAAGAACAGTGCATATGTAACAACAATAAACTATTAGGTGTCCAAATATTTATTTATACCGGGTCAGTCAATCCCGAAGGTGACTATAGACTCATAAAGTTAAGGCAAACCTTAACTATACTCTCGGATCACTATTGAGGAGCGTATGTTAACGGTCTTAAACTCAGTGTCCGTTATCGGCTATTAACACACAATCACGCGATCGGGAGACCGGAACCCTCTTGGGACCACTGGCCTGCCTAGTCAGTCGGTATCGAATAGTAACTATGCATTTCCCAACTAGGTTAGCGAAAGCACATATGTACTCGAGAAATCCACTGCTATGCATTCACACACACATTCACTCAAACAGCCGATAATTACAACAATCAACCAAACTAGTGCTATTGTCACGAAGACAGCAACTATTGGATCACCTAGTAAATTGTATTTTAAGGTCAGACTATTAGTGTTAAATAACACTGAGAACCGACAAAACTACAACTGTTTCACTAAGACGTAGGACTATTGCCGAAAAATCGGGCAGAGCCTTCGGCGGCCTGGTACAATCTCGGGGATGTCGGAGACTTCCATATGACACATATAGTAGTCTATACCAACCATAACTAAGTATAGGTCAAAAGAGGTAAGGGAGGAGGACAGCGTAGCCGTACAGATCTCTCGACACGACAGACCCGTTAGCACACTATCAACGGTAAAGGAATGACGGCATGACCGTACGAATCCCCCGACACGGCGGATCCGACGGCCAACCATCATAAGGTAGGTTAGGGTAAGGTATGGTATTATTATGTAACTGGACCGGAACCCCCGACACGGCGGCTCCGTCCATTAGCTATATACGCGGGAAGGCTTGACAACATAACCGACCAGATCCCCCGACACGGCGGACCCGATGGCCAGTCATCTTACCTTAAAACTGTAGACAAGAAGGGACCTTTACGATACTGGAGCTCCCGACGCGGGAACCCACGGATTTAGGTCGCTTAGAGAAGGTAGGAGACAATAAAAGTAAAAACTCACATTAAAATCCCAAGGCTTTTATTTTAAAATGACATCAATACGAGGTATACATCCAAGTATACGGACCATATCAGAGAAGGGGGTCGAACCAGAAGGGGAGAGAACTGATCTGCTAACGGCTCTTAGCAGTACTAGTCTTATGCCGAGTGACTACCAGTATCTCAATGATTCTATCATTGAGGATACTTGGGGTTTTATAGTCTCGGTCGCATCAATATAAATTTTCAAGGGAGGTAAGGTATATACTAGTGATGCGTTGGAGCCAAAAAACACTACAATATAATACTATTTATGCTATGTTATGTAATGATTGATGTCTAAAATTGGTAATTCTGGCACCGGATAGGGGAAATTTTATATAGATTTATGTTACAGTACGGGAAAGAAATTTGGATTTTTGGCACTATGTATGTAGATGTTATATGCAGTATATTATGTATTAATTTTAGGGTGCATCTAAAAAATTTATTTGTTAGTATATTTTGATATAAGTATATATATATATATATATATATGTGTGTGTATTGTATTATAAATCTATTTTATGTCAATATTTTCTATAACAATATCTTCAATAAGTACTATAGTCTTGTCTTAATTAATTTGTAATTAAATATTTAACTAACGTCTGAAAAGAAACTAAAGTTGTAAATAATAACCAAATTATTGATTTCTTATGTAGACTGGTATTACAGTAGTTAAGTCCATATGGGAATTGAAACCTTATATTTTAAAGTTATTTTATATTTTTAAAAATCTATACTTAAATTTATATTTATTTTATATAAATTGATTTTATTTAATAAATTCTATGTATTTTTAACAACAAACTTAATTTACAATTCATTTATTTAATTATGATGTAAATACTTTTATAAACTTGACAATTTGGTACAAAATTATTAAATAAAGGTTAGATATATATATATTTCATTATTATTTTTTATTTGAAATAATTATATTATACTRAAAAAGGGGTATAAATTTGTATAATATAATGATGAATTCACATAACAGTTAATGTAAGTTAATTAATGTATTAAAATATTATAAATCTATGTAACGTTATGTATAATCTTATAAATACAAATTGCGATTTTAATAAATATCACTGGACTTACATTTCATTAAATTAGTATTCAAATTTATTTTTAAATTTTATTCAAACTTTTTTTTACATTAAAAACATTAGAATCAATTTGACAATTATCTAATCGCAAACACGTCCTAATAAAAAGCAATTTATAACATAATAATCTAACAATAAGTTGTTTGTAATTTCTTTATAAAATAATTATTAATTGAGAAATAGTTTGTAAACTTGTTTTATATATTTAATAATAATGTATACAATTTGATTACTAACAAAAAATAAATTTTCAATACTATTAAAGTTCTATAATAGTTCTAAACTATAATTACATTATATGTATACTTAAAAATACAGTAATTTTTATACATTAAAGTTTTAAAAAATATATTTATATTAAAAATCTATTTTAAATTCAAATGACAATAATTGTTTATATATATAATAGTATTTACTATATTAACAGTGATTTAGTATATTATATACAAAATAAAAGATTATAACTTTCAATTAAAATAGTATTAGTATTTCCTGATACAAATATATCATAAACTAATTCAAATTAATCTATTTTGTCAGTTTTATTTATTATAACTTACTTTTAATATAAATTTATGCATAAATACTATAGTTAAATTTAAAGATTTGTTGTAAATAGTTTGTATTAAATTGATGATACTGTAAATTAATATTATAGATAATGTTATCAATAATATTATTCTTAATTTATGTCTTTTAATCAATAAATTTAATAACAAAAATAGCAAAGAAAAAGAGTTAATAAATTATTACATTTTATTAAATTATAATATGCTTTAAGATAAACAAACTAATAAATAAAAACATCAAATTAATTGTAATTWTATACTTAAAAAACAAAAGTAAAAGTAGTTTCACTAGTTTTTTATTGTAAAATTTGAAATAGATGTCAATTTAATATTAATATTTTTACATATTAATCATTAAAATATAAAATGTTTTTATGAACTAACAGAATATAATAATTTTAATTTATTTTATTAATTACAGTGAAAATTAACGAATAAATAAATCAATAAAATGTTTCCATTTATACGCTGGCAATCATATCGTGTTATTATAATCTGTTCATTAATTTGGTTTATATTATGCTTTTGTTTTCTACTCTATTATATGAACTATTTGTTACCCAATGATTATCGCAAGACATTATCTGAAACATCGTTAAAGAAATCAATTGATAATTTAAACAAATTTAGTCATAATTTATTTGATTCATACATTGATAGACGTAAACTAAAATCAACTTTTTCAACAACTTATTCATTTCATAAACTAAACAATTGGTCACCCATTGGTATAATTTCTATATTTTCAATTTTATTTACTAAGTTTAGAGTTATATACAGTATATATATATATATATATATATRTATATATATATATATATATATATATATAATTACAATATATMATTACTAAATATATAAATTAAATTAAATAGAAAGAAATGAATCCAATCCTAAGGGTTGGTTAGGAGAGAATGGAAAAGGAGTTCATATTAGTACAGAAGAGTTAGAACTGAAGAATGAAATGTTTGAAATCAATAAATTCAATCTTTTGGCGAGTGATAGGATTGCTCTCAATAGATCTCTTCCCGATCCAAGACTTGATGGGTTTGTTTTCTTTAGCAAATTATAAGATTCATAATTAATTAAACAATAATTTTATTTATTAAATACAATTAGATGTAAAAATAAAACATACCATCAAAAACTTCCCAACACATCCATTATCATTGTATTTCACAACGAAGCCTGGACTACACTATTGCGCACAAGTAGTAGATTATACATTAAATTAAGTTTAAATTATTGATTTGATTGTTTGTTTTTTTTAAATCCAGTCCATAGTATAATAAACAGAACTCCACTAAGTCTTATAAAAGAGATCTTATTAGTGGATGACGCGAGTGAAAGAGGTATATATACTGTATATATATTGTAAATATTGTCAATCAATGATTTTCTAATAATAATTTGTTTTTATATTTTATTAATTCAAAAGATTTTTTAGGAAAACAATTAGAAGATTACGTTTCAGCTCTTCCTGTGTCAGTGAAGGTATTACGAACTGGCAATCGATCGGGTCTTATAAGAGCGCGACTTATTGGAGCAAAAGAAGCCTCGGGACTGACCTTAACTTTTTTGGACGCGCACTGCGAGTGCACTAAAGGATGGCTCGAACCGCTTCTCGCAAGAATTGTTGAGGACAGGTATGCAATAGTTTGATCTTAATTTATCTCAATAATAATAATTTAATTTAAGAATTTAATTATAAAAAATTAATTTATTGGAAGAACTCGAGTGGTTTGTCCGATAATTGATGTGATAAATGACGACACATTTGCATATACAGCTGCATCTGACTTGACTTGGGGTGGATTTAATTGGAAATTAAACTTTAGATGGTTTGACATTTTCATAGTATTTTTAATTCAATAAATTAAAAATAATTTTTTAAAGGTTTCGAATACCAGAGAGAGAAATGATAAGACGAGACAAAGACAGGACACTTCCAGTCAGGTATTTATCAACTTTTATTGAATAGTTTTTTATTGTTCTTTTAAATTAAATGAAGATCACCGACGATGGCCGGCGGACTGTTCTCTATTGACAAACAATACTTTGAATTGATCGGCAAATATGATGATGGGATGGAAATATGGGGCGGAGAGAACATTGAGCTAAGCTTTCGGATTTGGATGTGCGGCGGATCTCTAGAAATAGTAACGTGCAGTCATGTCGGACACGTGTTTAGAAAGTCAACTCCGTATACCTTTCCGGGCGGTACGAGTAAAATAGTTAATCACAATAACGCACGACTGGCCGATGTCTGGCTCGACGAATGGAAAGAGTTTTATTATGCTATAAATCCGGCGGCAAAGGGGGCTGATATGGGAGACACTAAATATAGGAAACAAATTCAAAAAGATCTCAAATGCAAAAGTTAGTAATACTTATACTTATTTTTATGTTATATTTCTCTAACATAATTTACTATAGAATAATAACGTTTAATTAAATTTATTAATTTAAAAGATTTTCGTTGGTATTTGGATAACATATACCCGGAAAGTCTAATGCCATATAAATATTATACATTAGGAGAAATCAAGAATATATACACTAATAAATGTTTGGATACAATGAAGAAAAAGAAAAGTGGAGAAAAGGTATCAATGATTACATGTCATGGAAGTGCTGGCAATCAGTTGTTTATGTTTACAAAAAGACACGAAATAGTTGCCGACGAAAACTGTTTGGACGCCACAAAAGTTGGAAAACCGGTTAAACTGATGCGTTGTCACGGAATGGGTGGCAATCAGTTGTGGGAATATAATTGGAAAACTAATAATATAATCCATATGTCATCTAAACTATGTTTAGATAAACCAAATCCCAAACAGAATCATCCAATACTTCGTCGATGTAATGGAAGAAAAACACAGAAATGGCTTTTGAAAAATAACTACAAATGGCAACTCTTTTGATTGCATTTTCATTTAATTTTTCATAACTTATCTAATTATCGTCCATTTTAGTCAATTATTATATTTAAAATATTTTCTAATTTATTTTATATACAATATTTTTATATATTAATTATGTAATACAATATACAGTATATTTATTTTATAAATCATTCATTTAAATAAATGTAATTACAATACACCAGTAATTACAATATTATAAATGAAAAATAGTAAATAATTAAATTAAAAATATAACAAATAATCAATTTCTTTAAACATATAGTAAATAATGTGATAAAAAATAACATGTGATATATATATGTTATGGTAATTATTGGTTATCGACAATAGAAAGTGAATTAATTTGTTCTAAACGTTGTGATTGTCTTTTATAATAATCGTTTCTTTTGCTGTCATTGTTCCTATCGGTGATCATAGAGTCGTGTTCTTTAAAAGAGCTGACATTTGTCTCCCAATAATGTGCTTCCGATCTGATGAGTGCCGCCAGCGATGGCTGAAAGTAATCGATTCGACTTTCGATAAAAACAGGAATCTCTCGGTTAAGGACTTGTGTCTCCAAATTGTACTCCTTTTGAGTGGTTGTCAAAGATTCGCAAATGTTATTCAATTTAAGTATGTTTTGTGATGTCTTTTCTTTTTCTGTATACTTTTGTTTCTTGTAATTATATTTATTCAGATCATTCTTCAATTGGTCGTATCGTTTAAGACAAGCTCTGACTTCATTGAAAGCGCTTTGCCATCGCTTCAATGGCTCGATAACTGTCGACTGAATAGTTGTGGCAAACTCTTCGCCATTTTTGATCGACTCTATAGTAAATGTATGCCACTCTTCAATAACCGATCTGAGCTGTTCCTCCTCTTGACATAAGACAGAGTTAGACAAATCAGTAGTCATTATGCTTTCAAATCTATTCATCGCTAAAATACTATCACTAAAACGTTTGTTTATTTTGTACAACTTCTTAGTGGTCGCTTCGGCTCTAATCACAACATATGAAAACATTTATATTCATATCAAAGACAATGAGATAATCACAATAACTAACTGATTGAGAGCTGAGATATTGGTCTCCATGTTATCATTGGTCAGCGTTTGCGAAGCGGACAGTGACTGTCCTTTTGATAACTTCTTCAATGGATTCCTGGGTTTAGAAAACAAATGAATCGATAATATAAGTGATTGATTATTATTAAGACAAACACTTACCAACTCATTATGGATCAGATTATGTCTTCATTTATCACAAACATAAACGTCAATCACAACAGTATTATGTGTTTGTAATGCCATCTGTTATGACCACAGATATAATGATTGAATGATTGCATAAAGTATTGCATCGATTGATGAATTGAACCAATGATTGAAATGATTGAAAACATTTCAAACTATTTAAACGCTTTGTATTTAAACTCAAACTTGTATTACATTTGCATCAATTGATCCCTTCTTTCATTTTCTTATAATATTTTCTTTTAGATTTATCTGATTTTTTAGTGACAATCATTTGATTGCATTACCAAATGACTGCAGAAGTCGGTGCCGGAGATGTGATGCAAAGTGTGACACAAACCAAACAAACAAATGTCAACAATAAGTCTAAAGACACAAAACGGCGTAAAAAGTCTTTGTCGACAATCAAGAAGACAATGAAAAAGTCAATAAAGAAGACACAAATTAGATCAACGATCAGAAAGAAATATGAATGCCTTGAATGCAGTAAAAGCTATTCAAAGATGCAGTACGTCAGGGATCACCTGAAAACTGTTCACCACAACTGTCGACTCAACTACTCGTGTCGTGTTTGTGGTCAGACATTTGGTTGGAGAGTGACTGTACTGAAGCACATCAAGAGATCACATCCCGAAAAGGACGACACCATAGCTATGATTGAAGAGCTTTAACTTAATGATTGTTTTAGCCATTGATTAGTTTTTTAATATTATTTTTACGAAACAACTAATCAATTCTGATATCAACTAATTTAATGTCTCATTATTTTTCATCTCTCATACCATTAATTCATTCAATTATTATTTATTTTTAAGTTTATTTAATTTTAAAATTCACAAACATATATAATTAATAACAATTTACCAAATATTATATATAAATTATAATAAATTTGTATTAATTTTATTAAAGTTGAAATTAAATTAAATCCAGTAATAAAATACAGAATAAATGAAAATATGCTGACTTTGCGATAGTTTTTTATAGATAAGACAACATTAGACAAAATAGGATTTTTATTTTTATTACCTGAGTTTACCTGTCAATGACATTGATTTTTTGTGATTAATTTTTGGCAATCATTCAAAACCAAATAATATTTGATTAAATCAGAAATAACCACAAAAAAATGAGAGATCGATGTATAAAATATATTACTGTAATATATATAATAATTACCGGTATTTTATTAAATACCATATGTTTAAAATTATGTTAAAATATTATTATTATTAACTTTATTCATATCGTATTATATTGTACTGTATATACGATATACATATACAGTATTAAAATAATTAAATAATGTTTATTGAGTGACAAGTGTTTTATTTATAAAAGCATGTAATTAAATGATTTGCTATTTTTATCATTTATTTCTATTATTTGTTACATTTCTTTATCTCGTTTTAAATATTAGTTCAACAAAAGTTGTTTTTATATCCAAAGTATGAAATAAAAAATATAAAGTTTTATAAAATATAAATAATGAAAATCTCTGGTTTATTAATGTTGAAACTATTATTATTATTATTATTAAACAAAATAATATGTAATAGTATATTACCGGCATATAAAGCCAATCAATTATTTGAATGGAAATACAAAAGTAAGATTGAAAAATTTGATTGTTTTATTGTTTTATTGTAAAAGTAAATAATTAATATTATAAATATGTGATAATATTATAAGTAAATGATGTGAATCCAAGTGAATGGCCGGGAGAGTTGGGTCAAAAAGTAATAATACCTGAAGACGACCAAACAATTAACAAATATTTCAAATTACATGAATTCAATATATTAGTCAGTGATAGGATTGCTTTGAACCGTTCACTTCAAGATTCACGGATGAAAATGTATTAATGTTTGTTTCATTCATATGATATCAATGACTCTATCCATTTGATCCAATCATTTCAGATGTCATCAAAAGCAATACAAACCACGTCTACCAAAGACTAGTGTCATAATAGTGTTTCATAACGAAGCCTTTTCAACACTTGTCCGCACAGTTGACAGTGTTATCAAAACTTCATCTAATCTTTTAATGGAAATCATATTAGTAGACGACTCCTCTACTAAAGGTTTGATTTAATTCAAACATCAGTTATTTTTTTAAAATTATCATTAAATTTCAAATAATCAGTTTATTTAAGAAAACAACTTTACGATTACGTTAAACAATATCCAATTCCTGTACGACTCATGAGATTGGGTCGCAGGTCGGGCTTAGTTAGGGCCAGACTTTTAGGCTCAGCTCATGCCAAGGGACAGGTACTCACATTTCTCGATTCGCATTGTGAGTGTAATGAAGGCTGGCTCGAGCCTCTTCTCGATAGGATTGCTGAGGACAGGTATTTCATATATTGGTTATACATATTGTTTGACACAATGTATATAATGTAACAAATATTACACCAGAACTCGAGTGGTTTGTCCCATCATTGATGTCATCGATGAACACGATTTCAGTTATATTAAAGCAAGTGTTATGATTTATGGAGGATTTAATTGGAAAATAGGTTTTATTTGCATTTTAGACATTAATGTAAAATTCATTAACATTTTTTAAAAATTCATTAATCAAAGGATTTCGTTGGTATAGAGCGCCTGAAAGAGAAAATATAAGACGAAATTATGACAAATCATTGCCTTTAAGGTCTTATTTTTTTAATAATTAATTATAATTATTATTTGAAAATAAATAAATTTGGTTTACTCTATGCAAAGGAGTCCCACACTTTCGGGAGGTTTGTTTGCCATCGATCGCGACTTCTTTGAATATATTGGAAAATATGACTCCGATATGATTATATGGGGCGCAGAAAATATTGAATTCAGTTTTAGAGTTATTTTAATTTTAACATTATTTTTATACTATTAATATTTGTTAACAATTAAATTAATTAATTAATTAGATATGGATGTGTGGGGGCAGTATTGAAATAGTCACCTGTTCCCGAGTCGGACATGTATTCCGCAGTAGAACACCGTATACTCTTCCAGGTGGTAGTTCTTACATTGTATGGTACAACACGGCCAGACTGGTCGATGTGTGGATGGATCAGTGGAAGGGCTTCTTCTATGCTTTACATCCAGAAGCTCGACATTTAAATCGTCAAAGTATTGATAAAAGAGTTGCATTTCGACATCAAAGACAGTGTCAAGTAATAAATCAAAATAATATTTAAATATTTATAAACATGTAATCAATCAATCATTTTATTTTATTTTCTTATTTTTTAGTCATTTCAATGGTATTTGGATAACATATATCCTGAGTCACAGTTACCTAAAGATTATAATATTTTAGGTGATATTAAAAGTGTTGAAAGAGACCAATGTTTGGATACATTACAAGCAGATGAAAACACTTTAGTATTAAATGATTGTTCAAACTCTAATAGCAATCGTATCAGTTTTGGTCAATTATTTATGTATACAAAAAACAATCAAATACTTAACGATGAAAATTGTTTGGAAATCAATGAAAATAATAAAATTGTTTCAATGAAAAGATGTCAAGAAAATAATTTAAACCAAAAGTGGATTTACAATAAACATAATAATAGCTTAATTCATGTGCCAAACAATGTTTGTCTTGACATTCATATTGAATCAGATGATGAATACCAATTGACGACCAATCAATGTAGTGACCATTTAAGTAGTCAAAAGTGGATTTTTGAAGATAATTTTGAATGGCAATCACATTCACATAGCATTAATCAATTTGATAACTAATTTAAGTTAATTTCAAATCTCAAATTTTTTATTGAATTATTATATATATATATATATCAAATATTTAAATATTTTTTATTTGACATTTCATAATATTATACCAAAATAAGAACAATTGATTTTTTTATTATATATAAATAATTTTATTTAATACATACAATTTATTACACTTGTTTTATGTACAATAATTTTAAAATCAATAATTGATAATTGAACAATATTAACTATAAATATTTGATTAAATTTTTTTAAAATGTTATATTTAATTTATTAAAAAATAAAAGGATCAATTTAATATTTAAAAAATGTGTAATAATATTATTAAATATATTATATTTTAGACGATAAATAATTCTTCATTTAATATGTTATTAATATTTTTATAGAAAACAAACAAATAAATAGATAATAATCTAAATATCAATAGTTTGACATTTAAGATGAGATATTATAAACTGTTATTGTTTCTTATTGTATCTGTTTTGATGAGTGCACGCAAACTGTATGCATTTGAATGCATTTAAATTAAAGGACAAATTTCTATAAAAAGTTTTAGAATATTATTCAAAAATATATTTTTATTGAAATTATATTTTATTATTATATTTTGGGTTCACTTTACAGTATACAGTATATTGTTATCACTATAAATGTTGCAGTATATTTTACATATTAACATATATACAATACAATAATTGCAACGATAATATAAATAAGATTACTACACATAAAATTTCTGTAAATTACTGTTACTAAAAATCATAGTTTTGTGAAATATTCATTATAATTAAATTGTTTTAAAAAACAATGTAATTTAATGACAACAAAAATGAAAAATCTTAAAATCTTACAAAACATGTAACAAATAATATTAATTTTGTTAACTTTTAATATGAATTATCATTAATAAATTAAAATACTAATAATAACAAAATATTATTATTATTAATTTTAATGTATTATATTTATATGATAGCAAATATAGTTATAAAATAAAATTACATGGCAATCCATAAATACACTTTCTCTATAAGAAATTTTCTAGTAATATTCATTTTTGGAAAATTATAATTTTAATTTACAAAACAAAAAGTTATACAAATACAGTACATATTTATTAATATTTGTTCATTTGTTCACTTAGACTGCAATATACAGTATTGCATAATATTTTGACTTACAATGAATGCATACCTAATATTGTAATCATAAGTGTCATCTGACTATTAATTAAAATTRTGTTATTTTAGATTTTGTATTTTTTAAAAAAAAATATTTAATCATCTAGGTTTTAAAAATCCTACCTTAGTCTATATATACCATATGATATAAGCCATAATCCTAGATGTGAAAAACAATTAGTACAGTATATTTGATAAATTAAAAATATGTACCTGTTTTCAAAAATCAAGTTAATGTTTACTATATTTCTCATTATTTTAATTAATGCAATAACATTACAGTATATTACTTCTACATCAAATAACTTATTAGAAAAATATTTTAATATGACTGTCATATTTTAATTTAGTGAAATTGAAATTTTTTATTTAATTAAAAGTATAAATATTATTACTTATATATATTTTTAATTTTTACGGTAGTAAATATGTTAAGTCATTGAAAGAAAGCAATGCATTTAGTCTATAAAACTTGTTTTACATTTGACACAAATTAAATTGATTTAAATTTTATTGTTTGAGATAAAACACTTGGTTAAAGAATATTCTTAGTATTTAATGACATCAAGTTATTTCAGGTAAAAATTGATATAATTTTTATTTTATTATTAATATTATCATTATATTATTCTGAAAAGTATATTTATTTGTAAATATATTGTATAGTAATAAAGTAATCACAATTATTTTAAACACTAAATCAAAACATAATATTAAATTTTCTGTAAAGTAAATATTGGTCAGTCCCTATTATATTTGTAATTAATAAAATGGTCATTTTTTCAAAATCCAAATAACGTATATTGTTAAAAAAATTTTTTGATTGAATAATTAAATTTATTGTGTCTTTTACTCTAAATACGTTTTGTTTAATTCAGTAAAATAATTAGTTTCATATATGTTATATTATGTTTGTCACATACAGTATATTAAATAAAAAATTATTATTGTAATAATTTATACAGAATATATTATACTATATATTATATGTGTTACACGTTGTAATATTGTTTATATAAAATTTTTATTTAAAAAGTTTTATTAAATAATTGCTATTAATTTAGTTAGATGTCATCAACTGAATCATAATTAAGTATTGACACAAATGCATAAATAAATAAATACTTTATTAGTTTTAAATTAATAATTCAAAAAATTAATTTAAATAAAAATGCAAAATAATGATTATTATAATTACTAAAACTTTATTTTAAAAAATTTAGCACAATGATATTTATTAAATTAATTATTTAAAAGTTTGCTAATAAATATTTTATACTCAAAATACTAAATAAATATAAATAGTGATAATATAAATAGGCAGTCAATTAATGTTGCGTCGCGTAAAACTTGAATAACTTTTAAACGGTTAGAGATAATTTAATTCTGTAAAATACATTTAAGAATATCATATCGACCACACTTAATATACACGCAATCACAAAACTAGGGTGACCAGATATACAAAATATCGGGACCAACGCAAGACACTATGCTACAGGCAAAACTACAATTGACAAATTTATTTTGACAATGAAATTTTGTAGTCAAGAAATAATAGTTTAATATAAAAAAAGAATCATCAAAATCGGATTGGTAGTTTTACTTTTATGGTTTATTAAGTTTGTCATAAATCATATTATATAAAATAGTCTAATATAAAAATGACGTTATTTATGACTTGTATATGACTATTAGATAAACATTTCAATTATATTACTAATTTTAAAAACAAAATTTCAATATGTCGATTAGTTTTTGAAATAATCGAATTACAATATAAATCATACTATTGTAATTTGATATTAAAATTTTTATTGAAATTCAATTATTTCAAAAACTAATCGACATATTGAAATTTTGTTTTTAAAATTAGTAATATACTTAAAAAATCCATCTAATATATATATATGAAACGGTTCCCAATCAACGCTTATATGTATTTTGTTTAATATTCTAGTAATTGTTTTTAAACGCTATTTATGCACAAAAGTTTTGCTACCAGTGCTGCCTTTCACACGTGAGCTGAATAGTAATGGAGGACTGATACCAATGGTATAGTCAGAGAAGTGTTAGCTTTCGAAGTGCACAGTCGGTTGGCGGGTGGGTGTGTAAGACAGCTCGGGTTTAAGTCTATTATATTGATTTATGTTATAATTATACGCTTTATATTGATTGTGATATTTATTAACTGTTAATAAAGTATTGTAAATATTATACACAGTGTATGTGATATAGTAGTCATAGCTTATGGTGATTATAGTGGTTGCAATAACAGTGTATGATAGCTAAGCCGCCGCAATACTAGTCTCTAAGCTCGGGTCCAAAGCTGGTCACTGTATAGGCCACACCTTTACCGCATCGCTCAAAGTGGTCGCTCATCTGAGGCTATAAGCCTACCTATTTAACGGGAGAAAACTAATATATATCGCAAGCTATCTGCTACAGGAGTGGGCGTACCGGTTGGTTACCACCGTAGCAGATATTACCGTTACATATACAAGTCATAAATAACGTCATTTTTATATTAGACTATTTTATATAATATGATTTATGACAAACTTAATAAACCATAAAAGTAAAACTACCAATCCGATTTTGATGATTCTTTTTTTATATTAAACTATTATTTCTTGACTACAAAATTTCATTGTCAAAATAAATTTGTCAATTGTAGTTTTGCCTGTAGCATAGTGTCCTGCGTTGGTCCCGATATTTTGTATATCTGGTCACCCTAGTTTTGTGATTGTGTGTATATTAAGTGTGGTCGATATGATATTCTTAAATGTATTTTACAGRATTAAATTATCTCTAACCGTTTAAAAGTTATTCAAGTTTTACGCGACGCAACATTAATTGACTGACTCCTTATATAAATAAAAAATGAAATTACTATAAAATGTTTTTTTTGTTATAATCATTATTAGTATATTTTATATTTTGACAAAAAAATATTTAACTTTTAAAATGTCAGTAAATTCTTATTCTTTATTTAAAGTATTTACTAATATATAAAGTATTGATTAATAATTATTTAAACTATTAAATACTTTTTATAATAGTTGCTAAAAATACAAATAATTATTGCAATATTTATTTATTTATTTTAATATTTGGATATAATTACATTAATTTTGATTAGATTGGATGATAAAATATAAATAATATTTCTATTTTTTGTTCAAAYCAATCTCAAGTCACTTAAAATATTTTTTAGTTTAGAAAAACTATATAATAGTTGCCGAAAAACCAAATAGTCTTTGAAATTGTTTGCTAACCCATCTAATAGTTATTTATAGTTATAATAAAATTTCGGTAAATTTATGTTCAGTGGATTACWGTGTACTAAATCTCAGGTATAAATGTTAAACCGATAAAATAGTTAGAATAGTTTTTGAACTAGAAATAGTTTTTTTAGTTAGAAATCAAGACATTAATAATATATTTAGTTATAAGTTTTTATTGAATTATCTGAATTATCATATTATTAGAATTAAAAATATTAAAAGTCCAATCTTATAATAATTTATTAAATTATTCATTAATTGATAATAATTTTAATTTTAACAATAAAATTTTAATAATGAGAAAATAAATAGTTATTTTATAAATATTATATAGTATCTAAATTATATAAAAATAATATTTTACAAAAACTAAAATCATTTCAAAACATTACGTGACTTCAAAACACTAGAGTATTTGTAATGATCTAAAATATAGACTAATAATATGGTAATACTGTATTATTGAGTTGAGTACAAACTTCATTATATTGATTATTACATTATACGGTATATAACAATTTAAATGACAATTTTATATATTTCTATATTTGCAATTCAATATTTATAACTTATATTTATATGTTTGATGATGTTGCATTTACTTAGAATGTCACAAAATATACAATTATTATTAATATAAATTTCATGCAATATTTTGTTTTTATCAAAATATTTTACTTAATATAGTAATTGTTTTAAGTTGTATGTGATAATATATATATATAAATATTTAAAAAAAATAAAATGTACAATATTAATTAATAATAATAAATGTTTATTATTAAATTATATATTCTTAAATATTTATTACAATTAATAATTTTAAATGTAACAGATTTTTTAAATTTAATATATTAATATTAATAAGTTATTAATTTTAATTAAATTAATGCTAACAATAAATTTTATTGTGTATTTGAGCATTAATTAAGTTTAAATGTAAATTTGACACAGGTACAGCAATAATGCAATATTATATACAGTATATGTCATGTTATATTATATAAAACTTTGAATCATATAATAACATATTATAGGTTAATTAGTAATGTTATCTACTAACTCCTTGGAGATTTTATTATCTACTGTAATAAGTGAAACAATTTTTGTGATAAACATATTTAACTATAATTATAATATTAATAACAATAGTAGTGAAAGCAATAATGTTTTATCATTAAATAATATCTATTGTCATATTTCTAAAATGGCTTGTAATAAATAAATTATAATAAAAAAATTATTTATTTATAATAAGTAAGCAAAATAGTTACGTAACATATTATTAGTCAAGTAATGTACTTATTATTTATACTTTAGTCATCAAAAATGGTATAATTATTATTAGCGCAACAAATCAATTAAAGGTTTCAGTTAATGAATTTGTGGTAAAAATGTTTATTAGTGGCAATTATTCATCAGATAATTGTATGAAATTGTTTTTTATTCAATTATTTAATTAATGCTTAATTTAATTTTCAATATATAGATAATTCTGATAATTTGATGTCAGATTACGTCGAGTTTTTGCAAAGTTTGTTATTAATTGTTAGCAATTTCTTTCTGCTTCCGGCCGTCTATTTGGCCCTAAAATGCAAATATTTAGGCGAAGCTTTCATCTATTTTTTGACAATGTTTTGTTCGAGTGTATGATTTTAATATATATAATGATTTTTTATATAAAAAATAATTTAATTATTATTAAATAATATTTAAAATTAGTTTTACCACTTGTGCGACAACGACCACATGAGATATTGTATAATCAACTACGAAGTGTTGCAATTTTGTGATTTTTATAGCGCTATACTAACCTTATGGGTCACAGCTATCCTCATGTCTGACATACCATACGAGTGGCGATCAGTTTTACATTTGACGGGATCACTATTTTTTGCCGGACTATTACGATCCAAAACTACGGGTGCCATCAGTTTTGTYGTGCCGGCTGTCTGTTCACTGGTTCTGTTAGGACTTAGTTGGGTAAGAATTTTGTATTATAATTAATATATTAATATATATATATATATATATATATATATATATATATATATATATATATATATATATATATATATATATAGAAAATATATATGTAATTATATAATTTAATAATGTAGAGCAAGAAAGGTCATAGACGACAATTACGGGCTTATTATTATAGGATAAGGACACTCCATAAAATATGGCCCTATTTGCCAATTATTCGCTTTTTTATTGTATTTATTTTTGGCAGAAAAACTTAATATATATTCCGATATCATTTTACATTATTTTTTATATTTTTTACATAAAATATAGTGAACTTGTTTATTAGAGATATATAATTAATTAAAATTAAGTATTTTATTGATATAATTTACTTGTAGTTATTTATGTATTTAATTTATATATTAAATTAGTTTTAATTAATAAGAAATATTTATAATATCATTTAGTTATACAATATATTATGCAATACAAAGTTGTTTGGTATTTAATAAATAGTTAGTACAAAATTATTTGACTTTTGTAATTTCATTGCAACAAAAACACTATATAATATATAGGCATAATTTATATTAAACTTTGAAACTAAATTTATTCAAAAAATATACTGCAGTTAACTCAAAGTAGTTTAAGACTAAAGACTTTAACATTATAAAATATTTTTGAATGAATTTAGTCAAAGTATAATATATGCCCATTGATTATCTAGCTTTTTAGTAGCAGTGTTGATTATTGTTATGTAATTACTTAAATCTTATTAAGTTTATTTCATTTAAATTAAAATTTTAAAAAATAAAAATATATTATTATATTATTTACATATTTTTAAAAATATTCTTACTATTAAAGAATACAAATTATTGATATGTAATAGTAATTTATTTATTAAGATTAATTTAGCATTTATTTCTATCATCACCATAGCATAGCATATCATTAGAAAAATGAGCATGATAAATGTTCAAAATAAATAATCAAATTTTAGTTGCAATATTCACTTGTATTGTTTTTCATAATATTTTTAAAAAGTWACGGTTAATGATAAAGTAATTTATTTTCAATATGAAGAACTTGAATATAATCATTATATTATAATATAATTTTCTAATTAATAGGTATATCAATGTTATTGTATGAGAATAATGCCCTCCAGCCTGTCATATAGCAACTTAATACCCGGTGCTGTACTCGGGGTGATCGGTGCTGTCATGTTTGTGTCACAAGTGACCATATTTGGTCATTTATACGGTTATACTCACTCAGGTTGGCACATATGTATGTCATTATCCATATCCTTTCTATTACCCAAAACACTATTAAATCAATACCATTGTCCCCAATATTTCGATACATTGGATATACTTCCCACTTCTAAATTTGATATTTAATTAATTTAATATTTATAAAGTTTGTCTTATATTAGTATAGTATAAAATCAAATATATATTTTTGTCATTTATTGTAAATTATAAAAATTTTTAAAAATAAATATTTTTATCATTTTTTCAAAATCTTGAATTTATTTGTTAATTTACTATTTTAACGAATTTAATGTATTATAATATTATTCAATAAATATACAGAATTACAAAATATCTTTGTTAGTAAAAATTGTTGGCTTAACGATAATAAAGAAATATAATTAAATAATGTTGACGTAATAGACATTATTAATTAACATTACTATATTTTACATTTGATTTTATAGTATATTTAACGCAAAATTGTGTTTTATTATTATATTTTAATATACAATAATCTGTATTAAAATTAATCTAATTTGTTAACAAATTTGCAAATATTAGTTAATAGATATAACCTGGATTATAATTATTTAAATTATAATTTCTTAGTACATAAAACTTATAAATAACATAATTAGAAATTTTTATCAGATTTCTAGTATCCGATCACAAGTAGGATATGATAATAAAAAATAATAAATATCTCAAAAACTTTAATAAATGTTAAAATTCATTATACAATTATTTAATCATTTCTTAGATAAATGTATTTCCGAAATAACGCCAAAATAACACAATTTTGATTTGTTTATTGAAATACTGATAATTGATTTTTATTTTATATATAATCAGCCATTTATTGCGTTTATTAAGAATATTTTGAAATCTTATAAAGAATTTTGAAAAAATGAAATATTTATTTTCATTATATAGTGATTTCATTTTTATTTTTAAATAAAATGAAATGAATATGTGTTTAGTGCAGTATTGTATATCAGTGTTAACTATAAATTTAAGTGRTGTTAATATTAATATTATTATAACTTTATGATACATATATAACATGTAAGACATGTGGGAAAAATTAAATCTAAATAATTAATAGTTATATGTTTTATTTAAAAAACATTTCTCAATATATCTATTTTGTTTATAATATGTGTTGTCCACTATAGAGATAACTGCGTTTAATTAATGTTTTATATTTTTCTCCCTATCAATGCTTATTTGTCTTTTAAAAAACATAAAATTTTGAAGTCATAAATCTAATACTTCGGTAGCGATTAAAACCAAAATTGATTTCAGAGTAGAAGAGCTATAAACAAATAATAATTAATGGGTACAAACTTTGTACAACAAACCCATAATAAGTTACAGACCTCCAAACATGTACCCAATGTTGCATCAATACTTAGTCCTCCAATGGAGTACTAATTGCAACAATGAATCTGACCTCTGATTGGTAAATACCGGAGCCATGACCTCAACAGTATACAGTATAAAAGCAACTGTTAATGAGGTCCCCACTTATGGGGAACAGGATTCACTTTAAGAGATCCACTCATTTTATATATTATCCCGTTTTATACATTTAATAATTGTTAACTATTGATATATATTAATCTATGTATTTAATCCAATTGTTTAAGTAATTTAATAAATTACAAACATGTTCTCTAATAACTTGTGTATCAATTCATTTACCACCATCAACACTACCATCAACATCAACACTACCATCAACATCACCATCATTGACACTAACTAATAGACTAGTGAATCAACTACGCGACTGCACACAAAATACTATAGTATTGTATAATAATACTAACAATAAAACTGCTAGTCTTATAAACATTACAAATTTAATTGATATACTGTATAATAATAACTTTTATAATTTATATTAAACAATGAGTAAAATAAACTCATATATACTAATTTAATTGGTACTATAGTTTATATGTGCAATTTAATTATATAAAACTTATTTTTCAATGATTAGCACAATAGTAGTGTATTAGTACTGTATTTGTGTAGTTACCTAATCTGCTGTACACTAGTCTAAACTTACCTAAATTATAAGTATAATACATATATTTAATAAATCAACATTAATTTAAAAAACACACAATAAATGTTTAATAGTTGGAAAAGAAATATTAATGAATAATTTAAACTACAAATATTATTATATGATATAAATATATTTATTCATATTTTAATAGATCAATGATATACAGTATTTTTATATCAAATAAATCAAAACTAAAAAAGATTTTTAAATATTCAATTTATACTTAAGAAAATAATTTACTATTTTATATAAAATAATGTTAAAATAAATTACTTTAATTATATATTTCAAACAAATTATAGAATTAAATGTATTTATAACACTATTTTTTTATTGTACTCTACTTTAGAATAAGTTATAAAATATGCTAAAAATACTTTTGTTTTTTTGAATTATTTTAATGAATACATTAACAGTTTTTATACTCAATAAAAATATAAAGTCAACAAAATTAAAAAACAAAAAACTCAAATCAATTTATAAAATATTTGCTAAATTGCAATAAATCGATATATTATTTAGTCATAATATCATCAATAAATGGGTGGATTTCGTTACAATGTTTTAATAAACAATAAAAAAAAGTAAAGCATATACTGTAGTAAATTTATACTATATGTCATATAAACTACTTTTACATTAATTATTATAAATAACTATAATAAACAATATTTAAAAAGTTAAAAATTTTATTTAATTATATATTAATAGAATAATAAAAATATTAATTTGATGTTTCAATGCAACAGTCAATGCAATGAATACATGTATAACAGTAAATGTGATGACAATTATGTGATATTTAATAACAAATTGTTTGATTCACTAAATTCATACTAATTTGCACTAAAAATGCTATAATAATACATTATATACAGTATTACATGCAATACAATGAATACATTAATTAAATTGACTCAAAAAAACTGTAAATAAAGTCAAATACAATACATTTTGTGTTCATTATATCGACAATCGATCGTTGCTTAGCTGTTATTAAATGGTTCACAACTAACGTATTAATTATTACAAATATATAATTCCCCAAACAATACATGTAATAGAAATAAATAGTTATTTTATCTATAAATACAACAAATGATTACATTATTTATAACGTTGTTTGTGAACTCATTGATTATATATTAAGGGCTGAACTTATAATAAGGTATTAATTAGTGATTAAAATAAATGTAGTTTTAGTGACAAATCTGTTGATATTTATGTCAATTATAGCGGTGTTTGTGATTACAAGTCATTGATATAGTGATCAACACATGACTTATTGGTGAAGACATTGAATGTTATCACCAATTGTTTGATGTAATCATTGTTTTCACCACAAAGTGAGTCAATCGACCAATTGATGAATGAGTGAAATGACGACCAAATTGTCGGCCCTGTCGTCGGCCTCGGAGTTGCCGTCGGCCAGGAATGCCATTCAAGGAATGAACACTCACTCGAATCGCTTCTTTGACCAATTGGTGAGCTATTGACACAACTGTGATATTAATCAATTGATGTATTATATCTGATGTGATATTTTGATGATATATAGCATAAACTGCAAGAATTGGACGACAATCTGAAGAAAGCGATGGTCAATAACGCACAGTTGGATAATGAAAAACAATCGTTTGCCTATCAGGTGGACATCTTTAAGGATGACATCGAAGAAATGACAGAAAATCTCGTTAGACTTCAGAAGGACTACAGAGACAAATCTAGGGTAAGACAACACTAGACAATACATATGATAATTGAGTTTTAATTGTTATAATATTTTAATCATATATGATATCATAATAATTAATTTGCGGATCAAATGACAATAGTAAACAATTTCAAAAGTCACACATTTAATGATCTTTTTCTATGTTTTTGTATATTGTATTATACAACTTGTATATACAGTATTGTTACAAAACTTAATAATTGTATCATATATTGAAACAATAATTTTTTATMMATTTTTTCTAACTGTTAATCATTTAGTCCTTTGAATTGATGAATCGAGACTTTAAGAAATTACAAAAGGATTGCGATTATTATAAACAATGTCTAAAGCAAAGGGATTATCTCATTGAGGTTTGTCTTAATATTATAGTCTTGTGTCTCATGAAAACATAATTCATTGGTACTTAAAGTGATTTTGTTTAACTGAAGGATGTATTGAAATACAGACATTAAAAAAATAATTTGTAAAACTAGAAACTGATCCAAAACCCGAATCATTATATTAATTTAAACTTGTTTTAAAAATGTTTTTAATAATTATTATTAAATTTGTTATACTAAACCACATTTTTAGTAGCTATCAAAATATTTTGATTTCACTTTCACTCCTAACTTGTATACGCTTTCATGAGTCAAAAGTTACTGATAATTATGTGAATGAATTAGTTTTTAATTATTGATTTATAATTTAATTATATAACTAAATAGGAGGCAGGTTTAGTGTTATTAGACTCCGATGAGACAAATAATGGGTTGCAAGTAGATTGCCAGCACATGTCAAATGGTTTAAATACATTAAATGGTGATTTAAGTGATAGAAAAAGTGAAATAACAGCTGATGAAAGTGGATCCGAGTCTGGTGTCAGTAGTAATGCAATTAAAATTTCCACAAATATGTCGCTAATATCTCGAGAAGCGGCACAACTTTTAGAAGGCATTGATGGTATATCGTTGGAGAGTAAAATTACAATATTATTAAAAGATAAAAAGTTATTAAAAAATGAAATAAATCAATTAAAGAGTGAACTCGAAGAAGAAAGACAACGAGCTCTCAAATTTGATGAACTGACACAAACTCGTGATCATAACATTCATTCATTAAATTCAGACACAAGTGTTGATTTGCAAAATATTCAAAGTATGTTATAATTATGACATTTAAAAAGTTAAACAATCGGTAATAGTAATAGTAATTTTAATTATTGTTTTTTATACTGTATTAATACAGGAGAAACAAATAAATTGATTAGTGATTATAAGTTTAAACTTAAAAAATATGAACAAGAAATAAGTGTTTTAAATGGTAATGTAGCCCGACTTGAGACTCAATTGACCAGATTTAGGACGACAGCAGTCGAAGCCGAGAAGTTAGAGGACGAACTCAAAGCCGATAAACGCAAAACACAAAGAGAGGTATTTTATATGATTTTTTGTTAATTTTTGTTTTTAATAATACAGTAATTTATTTAATTCAGTTAAGAGAAGCGTTGGCCCGAATCGAGGAGTTGGAGACATCCAATGCTCACTTACAGAAGCGAATCGACAAATTAAAGTCAAATCGTAATATAGTAATCCAACCCAATTCAAAATGATGATCACTTAAACCCCATAGTAGTGCTCATTTGATTGAGTTTTCTGTACAATAAGTGTTTTTATATGTGAATAGATTTACCGGTTATTTATTATTATTATTAAACTTTATGATGAGTGAAGTACTGAATTAGACCATTGGAACCGATGCCATGAATGAGATTAACTATAATTATATATATAAAGTGCCAATTTATATATTCAAACTAATCTGAGCTTTGAATACATCATTTATTTAATATAAACATTAAATATCAGAATTAATGAAATTTTTCTAAACGGTTTCAAATCTTACACACAATTTGTATATTTGTAATAATATTTGATATAACTTTAAATATACTATTATCTCATCTATTCTTAAATTTTACTAAAATATTTATAAAAGCACTAAAGGGTTTTATAAGTTATTTAAATAGTTTATATTAATTTATTGTTTTAAGTTGTAATTACGTTTCTATCGTTTTAATTTAATTGTAGTTCATAATAAATTCATATTTTGTTTATCACAAACAAAATAAAATGTTAAAACTCTTATTTTATTTCAATCAATTGTCATTTATTTTACAAGAAATGGCTATTTCTCGCAGATATTCACTCATTTTTGTCAGCTCTTCGATCTCATTATAATTCTTAAAGATATCATTGTTTATAATTTGATCTTTAGTTTCATTTTTCAACTGATCCACAAAGTATTCGATTAATTGATGAAATTTGTTGCACTTATTGGCCATCTCTGAGAATAGTTTGGTCACATATAGGACGTTATCTTTAACTATCGGATCCGTTAATATTGAATGATTGATCATTTGTTGTGTCAATTGAAAGACATATTGAAATTGGTTAATAAAAATTTTTTCACTTTTAGTTTTTATGATCACAATAATATCACATTTGTTTTGCTCGGATAATATGTTTTTAATAATTATCTCAAATTTCTTGCTAATTAAGTCCTCAATAGTTTTATAATTCCTATCCATACGATCTTTATTAGGAAATAAATTAATTATATCTAAAACGCCGTTATGAAGACATTGAAGAATATCGTTACACAATATGTTAATCATATTAATCTCGATATCTTGAATTTCTTCGGCTATTTTAATGATATAATGACAGCATTTAGAAACTTCTGATCCATCTATTAATTGATTGGGATTTGTCTCCGATTTATTTAATTTATTATTATAATTATTGATTAGATCGCAGACATATATAGCTTTACTGTCAGTTATCAATTCAATTAAATTACATTTCAAATGAATTTTTTGCATTAAATGTGAAGAATTACAGCTTAAGATTTGAAGTAAAAGTCGCTCTTTTGAATCAAGATTTGGATGTAATTCATATAATCTTTGAATAATATAACAAAATTTGTAACATAATTGACATAAATTCTGAAGAATTTTAACAAATCTTTCAAATTTCCAGACCATCCTTAATGACAGAGTAAAGTATACCAATTGTGATACACAATTGAAGAAGAATTTAGTGACCATTTTATCTCTGATTATCTCTTCCGTCAATTTTTTTGAAATTTTTTTAAGCAATTTGTTTCCCAAATGATTACAATCATCAATCTTTTCATTGATCCAATAGTTAAAAATATCTTCATTAAGATTAGTCCACAAATGCATATCATCCGCATTATGTGATTTGATAAGAGTTGAAAAGTTTAGATAATTTATTTTAAAGATTTCTTTGGATAACATTTTTGTGTCTTTGTTTATGATTTGCTTCAAAAACTGTTTGTGTTTTACCAAAGTATGTCTTATTGTYTCACTTTCAATGGTCTCTGTATTTTCCAATTCAGAAGTAGAGTTCAATGGTTTATGTTTTGTGAAATATTCAGTTAAATCAGTAATAAAAAGTAAATACTTTAGTATATTATCACTTAATTCTTTCGATTGATTTGCAGCCCAATTATCGCACAAATCTTGAAATTTTAACTTTAAAACACTTAATATGTCATTAATTTTATTGTTATCAACCAATCTGTCGATTCTATACCAGAACTCTCTCATAATTTGTGAAATCTTTATTAAAAACTTTATAATTTGCGACCAATTTTCAGTATTATTAGCTCTAATACGAATCCATTCAATAAGTTTTGTTTCAATAATAGTATTAACTTTACTTTTAAGTTGTAAAACGCGATATTTTTGGTGATATTTTTTGATAATTTTCAAGAAATATAACATTTCTTTATTTTTATCTTCATTTTCTAGTATATCAATAATTAAATGAATTAGCGGTTCATATATTTGATAAAAATTGATGACAAAATTGCTTTCAATTTGATTTAATTTATTGATATAATTCTTCGAAAGCCATGCAGTGTATGGTTTGACTCTAATGTCTTCATTTGCCAATACTTTCATCAAAATTGTTGCATAACTTTTGTTTTGTTTACTATAATGAAGAATAAGTTTTAATAATACAATTCTTCTAATGATTGAATCTTCAAAATTGGTTAAATTGCTTTGAATTTTGTGCTGATTTATGAGTGAAAGTGCCGATAGATATAATAGATTCAAATAAGTCAACTCATCTTTAAATGMAATAATTTCTTCATTTTTATTAATCTGAAAGTGATTTAAATGCCATCGAATCAAATGTAAGTAAAGCATTATATGATATCTAAGGGATGACATCTTATTGTCAGCGGATCCTTGACGTCCCCAAACTATTTTCATTGATATAATGCCATTAATGTCATTATTGAGTGATAATTTCAACTTTAATGCTGTCGATGGTATAAAATAAGTGAAATAATTTCCAGAAGCAGATCTCTTGCCTATCATATAATAAGCAGTTCCTAAGTATTCATCAGATGTTCTCTTAAAAACTCGACTCAAAAATTGCCTAAATTTTGATTGTTTTAAATCTTTACTCCAAACTTCAATGCATAGCTCCTGTCTATAGATATTATCGACAAATTGTTGGACATCTATACTATCGGGTACTTTGATATCTAATTTTAAGCCCCACTTTGGCTTAAATGTATTCTCTAAATAATTAGAGCAAAACTTGTTTGTTTGCGACAATAAGCGATCTTTTAGACAAAATGATCGAAAATATAATTTAAAATATGGATTACATTGTCGATGATTGTTGTCACGATGTCTTAAGTTTTGAGCCATTTCAACAAATACGTGAAGAATTTTATCACCAATTTGTTTGACTCCATCTGATAATAGTCTATCAATCTTGTCGTCTGAAAGACTAAACACCTCTTTTATATACTTCTCAGTAATTTTGTTGTTGATATTAAATGGTATTTCTGAACACTTTATTCCCAATGAATTTTGATTGATTGCTAAAATTCTTGATATAAATAGTTCTTCACTTAACAGATCTATGTTAACAAATTCATTGACAACATTGACCACATGTTGTATATTAATTGCTTCATCAAAGCGACTAATTTGTATATTTTGATCCATTTAATACAAAATCTAATATAATTATCTTAAATTTTACTGTTATTTAAATTGCAAAATAAATAAATAACAATTTGGCGCGTTAATGATTTTAATTAATTATTATAAAATTACATAAAACAATCAATTATTTATTCCGGTAATATTACAGTAATAAGCCGTAAATATTGTATAAAATTGTATATTATTGTATAAATAAACAATAATTTATGAGCATTACCGTAATTATAATAAATTACAAAATCACATATAAAACTATGATTTACGTGATCACAGAGATCTACTATAATAACAATATGCATTAATTAACTTTCATTATTTATTATTTCCTAACTAACTATAAGTTAATAAATAAATTAATATATCATTTTTCATAGATGTTATTCATCATTTAGTTGAAATGTATGCCGAAATTTGTTGATCTGTAATAAAATTAGTATTTTATTAGTACTAGTATTTTAGTTAAACTGTATAACTACGGGTAATGATATAACTAAAATACAAACCAATTCCAGATTATCATAAAACATGTGATGTTTATTCCAGATCAAACTTCTTAATAATTCAATACCTAATTTATAAATATAAAAAATTAAAATAATTTAATATTCAAATTAAATAATCACAAATTAAACCTTTTTCTCTGTTATCATAATATTGTTGTTCCCATGAATTCATCAGAATATTCTGATAGGAAAGTGAATCAAAATATTTAATATATTGGTAACTATTAGCAGAAGGAAAAACACGTTTGAAATGACCGACTCGTGAGAGTTCATCTTCAGATTCAATTAGTAGTCTTATGTCTTCATTCGTCAAATTATGTAAAATATCACAATTTTCTGTTTCCGAGTTTTCATACTTTTGATGCTATAAAACAAAATAAATATAAAAATTATATATTATATTTAAAAAACAAATTAATAAATACTTTAATTTTTTCTTCATCATTAAAAGTGGTGGAATAATAGTGACGATTGTAACAAATAAAGTCAGCAAAAGTCTCTATATTTTTAAAACTCGGAGGAATTTGGTGTCCGATTATGTTAAGCATATCCTTAATTAACTGAGATTTGACAGCACTATCCAGTGGTGAATCGGAGCGAAGACTAGGAGATATATTGACTTCAATAAGCCATGGTTTGTATGTATTGTCTAACATAATATCAAAACCCAAAAGTTCAAAACAAGAGTACCGACACTTAACATTCTGTTCAACTAATTTGCAAATATATTGTTCACAACTAAGAATTGTCTTAATAATCATATCTTCAATGGAATTAAGTATTTTGTCGACATCAACATCTTTACAGGAATGACTTAGATATCGCCATAAAGTCTTAAGTGTCCATTTGTTACCGGTTTGGCCATTGATGTCCTGATTGAGGACATAATTCAAATGATTTTTATTAACGCTATAATTAGTTAAATGCATAAACTGATTGTCGACATGGCTTTCAATATCATTGGAATATTGATGAGATGCAAACCTCACGAGTCCATCGTCATAGATATAAACTCTAAGAGGAACTATTGATGTAATCAATACATAAACTCTTAAATCAAACTTCTTTTCGTTGTATAGTAGACATGGATTAGTGATATATTTTTGAATAACAACCGATGTCTTGCAATTTGTCTTTGTTTTAACTCTGGAAGCCTTTGGTATTTCACTATATTTGGTAATTATTTTGATGCCCTGACCTCTCGCAGATGCCGGCGGTTTCATTATGAAAGCAACTTCTTCATTACAATTCATACAATTAAGCCAATACTCTTTAAGACCATTCAAATCGTGAGGCAAAATGAAAGTCTGTGGATGAAAGTCACCAAAAACATCAAATCCATGTTTGTAAGCCATTGTACGTAAATTGTGCCACAATTTGTCTTTTCTACCGAAATGAAAACTTCCCGGAAAGTGATTTACTTTCTGATAAATTTTGATCGCTTTAAAGTCGAYACTCTTCATGTGTTTACACCAAATGGCACTCCAATTCTTGTAGACCTTCTTGTTCTTGTCTGTCAAATACAAACCATTCAATGTCTTGGTTTATAATAAATGCCATTTATAGTCAAACCTCTTAAAAAACGATAACCCGATTTAGCCACAACTGTCTTCATTGTATTGGCAGTTATCGACGATAATTTCCATCTGAGATAAAGTCTTAGTTTGTTTGGCACTGAAGAAACTAAACAAAYGAAATAAAAAGTTATTAAATGTTAGACTTAATTAATCAAACAATTATTACGTGACTCTTCCTCGAGAGTGAAGTAAATGGTCGGCCAAACCATTGGAAAGAGTGACGGCTGAAGAACCAGTGGATCATCATTTGAATCGTAAAGACGTGGAAAGCAATAATCAAATGATTGATTGCATCCATTAATTGAATAATTTATCACTTTATGAATCAATTGGTCGTAATTGTCATCAATTATCTCATTTTCATTGCTATTATTGGCAATCATAGCAATGCAGTGATTATCACAAAGTTTTTCTCTTATATGAGTTTCTAATTAATTAATAAATATTTATATATAATATGTAAATATATTGTAATAATTTGTATTACAATTAATTAAATAATAAATAATTAAAAAATGTATAAAAATGTATAAAAATTACAAAACAATAACAAAAAGCATTGTATTTGCGATCACTTTATTATATAAATACAAACTAATGTATCGTTCATTCAATTCATTGAACTCAAGAACAAAGCGTTCCAATCATTGGTTTCACTGTTTATGTGTTCAATGAATGCCAGTGTTGGCAGAAATAACATGTTTGTAGAATACAATGTATAATACAATGTATAATACAATGTATAATACAATGTATAATACAATGTATAATACAATGTATAATACAATGTATAATACAATGTATAATAAATGATCAATTTTTTCTATAAAAATAAAACTTAGCGCCACCGGAATTTGTTACTTTGACACGTAATGTCAAAAGCATTGATATAAGCAATAATAAACATGTTAAATACATATAGATTTAATATTAATTTTTGATTTTAAATTATTTTATTATTGTTATTTAAAATCAACGATTATTATAAATTTAACAATAATAATATTCTAACAATTATATTTTTACCAAATATTTTACTAAATTTTTCAACATTAGTTTTGAAAAATGTTTAAATTTAATATACTTAATGTATTAATAAGTACAGTATAATACTGTACTGTATTTAAAAAAGTCAAAATTCAAAACCTTGTATTTTTCCAACCCTTATGAATGCATTGAATCACTGGAAAACTTGAAAACACATTACATTCAGTGATCGCTTAACTTATCATAACTTATATAGTATTATAACATTTCTATTCAATTGCCGCACATTTCAAGTTTAGATTAAACTTTTAATTTATTGTTAATTAATTTTTTAAATTTATAGTATAATATTTCCTATAATRATATTTCCAATGCACACAACAGTTATTAAAAATTATTGTTATTTCACTAATTATTGGTCATTTAAATGGTTTATTATAATTTTTAATACATTTAACTACACTATTAAAGAAGTTTCAAACATATAACTTAATTTATAAAACTATACTAATAATWATACAGTAAATCATAATATTTTAGTAGAAATTTAGACTATAATATATTAGTATATGAAATACAATAATGATTAAGTGAATTAAASTATTGTTAAACCTATTATTAAACGGTATTTTTTGAACAATAATTTTAATAAATTAATGTCAAAACTATACCGAAATAATTAGACTCGTAGTTGAATTTAAGTAAAATAAGTAATATAATGGACTAAAATAGTCAAATGTTATTATCAATTAATAAAATAATTTTAAGACTTAAGAGAAAAAACTATGTTTTTAATTGTTATTTAAATTTTAAAAATAAAAAAATTTAATAAAACTATAGTTTTTTGATTAGATAMCGATTGAGAYATTTGATTATAAAATGTGGAACAAAATCAAGAAAAAGGTTCGCAAAGTAATACAAATTTTGGCAAAAAAGACAATAAAGAACAGAAAAGAAGAGTTTGGAGATAATGACGATGAAGACAGTGATTATGAAATTGAAAGACAAATATCATTGCAATCATTGCATTCAAATGATATGCAACTTCAAGTCGATGGCAATTATCTGTCGAATTCTATTATTAAATGCATTGTCAGTAACTCTCTTGAGGACCAATTGATGAACATTTGTCGTCAGAAAGAGATATATCGATTGGAGAATATCATCACTAAAGAAATCTATAGAAAAATGAAAATTTTGTGGTCCGGCTGTTACAGTGAAGTCATCAAAGTAGTGGACGCAATGGGAAAACCAGTGGTCATTAAAATAAGTCTTATAAATCGCAAAAATAGTGGAGGACTTGTAGTTCAAGACATGTCATCCGTATTAACTGATGTCATAAATTCACGACTTTTGAGTGATTTAAAAGCAATATCCGTTGATAATGCTCTCAATTATACTGAAAACTTTGCAGACATAAGAAATTGTTATTATGTATGGACTGATAAATCGGTATTTAATGGCTCTAAAGGTAAAGAAAATGACAACAAATTTAAAACAAAGAAATATAAATATGTTTTAATTGAACAATCATTTGGTGGCAGAGAGTTGGAGTCAGTCGACGGAATGTCACCGAACAAAGCATTGAGTTTAGCCCTACAACTGATCGCTTCATTAGCAGTGGCTGAAGAGGCCATTGAGTTCGAGCACCGGGATCTCCATTGTTCTAATATTCTGGTCGATCATCAAACTACACAACAGTACTGTCAATATGCTATCAATGGACACAAGTTTAGAGTGAAATTAAATGGCATTAAATTAACTCTTATCGATACAACATTTTCGAGGACTCGACTCAAGATTGCCATCAATAGTAACAAAGAATATGAAAATTGCTTTTACAGTGATTTAACACATCTTAACTTAGATGACTATCACAACAAACTACTCAAACAAGTTTATACAAAACAAACGCTAATTACTTCAAACAATTGGCGTAACTTTCATCCAAAGACTAATATACTTTGGATTGATTATTGCGTTCAGCARTTGTGCCAAAAAATGAACAAATGGTGTCTTAAAAACTACTCKTCATCTCATATGACTACAAATCACTAYAGTGTGGACCACAAGCAACTCATTGAAATCAAAGACAATATCATAAGTTGTGAATCGGCTAAAGATTTGGCAAAATTTTGTCATTTAATTTAAACATTAAATCAGTTTAACAGAAAACAATAAAATGATTGCCTRTAATTATTTAAAATTACGGTAATATTTTTATAAAATATGCCTACAATTACAATAGATATTACAATCAACTGTACATTATATTACTTTTGGCATAATATACTATATTACCAGAATCTAACCAAACAAACACTTATGATATGAAAACAGTCAAAAGACAGATAACAATTACCGGTAATATTATAATACTGTCATGAATGACATCATATGATAAATTGCGGTTCAATAACACTTAACCCATAATATGAAAACCAATTCGAGACAAATCGGAATCTTTTTGTTAAAAAAATAGCAAAAGGTTTCMCAGAAATGTCTTAATTGCTGTTTTTGTAATGTAAATACTTATTCAATTGGCAACTGTTAAGTACCGYAATAACATTTGGCAAATGAAAAACATAAAATATTGTAATATAGTTTATTTGATTACCAATGYTAATACATTTATTAAATTTATTATAATTTATTTATTTGAACATTGATTATATGAATGCTATTATCATTACCACATGAGGCTAAGTGTACAATATTTGTACCGTTCATTGTTTTTTCAATTTTTGGTGAAAACTGTATACGATTTACAGTTAAAGTATGACTGAAATAAAATTTAATAAATTAATTAAAAGTTTAAATCAWACGATAACAACTACAATACCATTCATTGACATCCAATAAATGTGCCCAAAGTATGCGATCATTCCAATAGTAAAGACTTATAAATCCATTTTCGAGACCAAAAGCAACTAAATAGTTGTCGTTAAAAGTGATGCCACAGATATCAACACATGTTATGGCATCAGAGAGGACTAGTGGTAATCCACAAGAGCTGGTAGGACCTAATGTCGAGTTTATATTTATTTGTTTGGAATCAATTGTCCAAAATATAGCACTTTTATCTCTTGAAACAGTTATAAAATATTTGTTATCAAAAGTGAGAGCACAGTCCCATATAATTCTGGAATGAATACCATTATGTTTAAGACTGTGACCAATACGACGATAACAGTCGCCGTCTGATTGTTTCTCAAACAAAGTCCACGTCCTGTCTCTGGAAACGCTTAGAATATAGCGATCATCTCTTGAAAAACGGATTCGAGTAACTGTTAATTGATGTGACGATAGTTTGCATATTTGTTTGGCATTTATTGTATCCCACAAAATGATGTCCGCGTGTTCTGCTTTAGTCGCCTTTGATGCCGAAGCTATTACTGTGCCGTTGCTATTGATGGCCAAAGAAAATATCTCAAATACATGTCCGTAAAGTTTATGAATTTCAGGCCAAAGTGTATTCTGAAGTAATGTCTCTTCTGTTGGCGGAACTTCTAGTGTTGTTGGCTTAAAGTCGTGTTCTACTTCTTCAGCTGAATAAACGGCTGTATTTGAAAGTCCTAGTGTTGGCACAGTAGCGCTGTAGGCAACATCACATTCATTTAATACATCGGTATTGTCTACACTAGAAATTAGTTTTAAACTATTGGAAAAACATTTGGTGGCTTTGAAGAGTCGAAGCACTTTCTCATCAGCGCCTGAAACAAAACTGTGTCTATCAATCATTGCTATACATTTGATAGCATATCCATGAATCTGTGGTCGGGCCAACTCATGCCAAGAAATTGTGTTGTTGTCTTTGACCCAAACGGAATGCAATCGAGTAGTTTCATCACTCGAACAACTTAATAGATATTCGCCTTTAGGTTCCCAACAAATATCTGTTACTTCGTCAAAATGACCACTAATGGGAACACATGGTTTCCATTCATTATCACTACATTTCCATATATGAAGAGCACCATTAAAACTGTGACCAACAATCAAATTGAGGGCCGGTATCGAAACACAGCCTAAAAATCCTAAAGTATTTCCACCGATTTCTCCAACTCTAAGATTTTCAGTCCAAAGATCACCCAAKGATTCATTGTTTGGCGATTCCCATAAAATCATAGTCTTGTCCATTGATGACGATAGCAGTTGCAGTTTGTCTTGAGAAACACATTGCCAACAAACTTGACTAACCCAACCCTCATGTCCAGCCAATATCGTCTCTAATTGAACTTGATAATTTTGTTGATAATCTACAAGCAATTTAATATTTGACCGTATATTGATGTATACAATAATTGTCACTACAATACAATAMTACTAAAAATATCATAAAAATAATACCTTTAGTTTGTAGTGAAAATGTCAAATGATTGATATCGGATTGTTTTTCATCTATTTTATAAATTTGATGGACACGGATAAAACAGTCCTGTGATGAAGTGGCGATCATTAATCTATCTGAATGTATAATTTATAYCATTAAATAATTATTGAAACAAAAGTAAGTTTATAATTGTARTCTTATTACTTACTATTTATTGTTTCAAATATATCGATAGATCGTATCCAATCTTCGTGTCCTTTAATTTCAATCAAACAGTTAATCTGATAACTACTTTCATTGAATTGATATAAATTGATTGTTTCATTTGCGCCAACAGTTATTAATATAATGTCATCAAAAATATTTACATTTTTACAAACTTTCAAATCAAATATAAAGTTATTGACTGTCAGTTCGTTAATTTGTTTATCGTTTATCCAAATCTTAATAGATTTATCAGTGGAAGAGCTCAATGATAATAATGATTTGTCATCTAATTGTAAACAATAACTTAAAATAATAGACTCTTTATGTCCCAACAACTTATATAAAATCTCATATGTCTTCAAATGCCAGATCATTGATGTCTTATCGGCTGAAGAGCTAATTAACAGATCGCTATTATTTGTAACAACTTTAACACTATTAACACGATTTTTGTGTCCATTTAATAATTTAAATACTTTAAGTCTCTGTAAAAATGATAAAAACAATCAATCAATCAATACGTCAATCAAATGATAATCGATGGCAAACCTGAAGGCAATAGAGAGCTATTGAATGTTTAGTCCCAAAACAAATCAACTCTTTGTTTGCATCCAAACAATGTGAATAACGATTAGACGAAACATTTATGTATTCAATTGAATAGTCTATGTCTTGAGTCATCTTCATTGGTCACTATAATCATTAGTTACTGTACTGTAGATCAACGATACCATCGATGAACATAAATATATAAACATTAAGTCATATGTTGTCCACACATGTCATAACACGTGAGTCAACAATGGGTTGAATACATGCAATGCATTACTAATGCCATCCATTGAGTGATGACTTTAAGTGAGTGACTATTGAGTCAACACTTTGTCTATTAATACAGTATTGAAGTGATTGTGTGACACATTTGACACAACAATTACCACAACAAGACATACGATTAAAACAAAAGGTAAATGTCTTCAATTGATTAATCAATTTGAATGATAATAACATAGAGTTAGTCAATGAGATAATTTGTGGTCAAATGAATGCTAAACTCAAACTCATTTTGACTTCGTTTGTCTTCATTTTATTTGTACTCTTCTTCTGTGAATTTCTTATTTATTATGTTATGATATCATTGTGTTATTGGCCGACAATGTCTTCATCACACAACCAATTGGACAGTAAACGGGTCGAGACAATGGTATTGTCTGATACTCATCTTTTGGGTAGACTTCGTGGTCATTGGTTTGATAAACTTCGCCGCGAATGGCAAATGAAACGCTCTTTTCAGACATCGATGCATTTATTGTCACCCGAAGTGGTCATTATATTGGGTGATGTCTTTGATGAGGGCCAATGGGCTTCAGATACAGACTTTGACACTTACGTGAATCGATTTAATGACATGTTTGCCATCAGTCCAGACAAACATAAGATGATTGTTGTGGTCGGCAATCATGACATCGGTTTTCATTATTGGACCGATAAATATCTGCGACAACGCTTTGAAAAGGCATTTAACAGATCAGATGTTGATATCATAGAGATATCAAATGGCGTCCATTTTGTGACAATTAATTCAATAGCACTGGAAGGAGATAATTGTTATCTATGTGTCGGTGCAGTCGAAAAGATTAAATCTTTAGGGAAACAACTGCGCAAAGATAACATTCAACCAATACTTTTGATGCACTTCCCATTATTTCGTGACAATGAACTTATATGCAAGGAATCCGATTCTTCAACACTTGAAGACAAATCTGTTAAAAATAAGGAACGACTCGATTGTMTATCGAGAGAAGCGACAGATTTTGTATTAAATGAATTGAATCCAAGATTAGTTCTGACGGGTCATTCGCACCATAGCTGTGTTGTTGTACATGAATGGGACAAACCTAATGTCAAGCGAGTGGTTGAGTGGACAGTGGCGTCATTCAGTTGGCGTAACATAAAGACTCCGAGTTTCTTATTACTGACACTAACATCAAATCACTATTCCATCTCTAAGTGCTTTCTTCCCAATGAAAACATTGTTTTTCTTATATATTTAATTTGCTTTTTATTTTTAATTATTCATAACATTCGCTGCTTTTTAATCAACTATTTTACAGCTAAACATAAGTCAAATTAATACTGAATTAATACATAATGTATTCATTGATCCATTTATTTTAGTCAATTTAATTTTGTTACTTAATTTTAAATCTTATATATATTTACAAAATATTGATGTAATATAGATTTATTTATAGTGTTATACTGTATATGCAATAAATAAATAGATTATTTATTATTATATGATAAATAGGTATTGATTGGCAAAAATGATGCAATTTATGTTACTCTTCAGCCGTCAGGGAAAACTACGTCTCCAGAAATGGTTTGCCGCATATCAGGACAAAACCAAGAAGAAGACCACTCGAGAACTGATTAATATAATTCTTTCCCGAAAACCAAAGCTTTGCTCATTTCTCGAGTGGAAAGACTTGAAAATAGTCTATAAAAGGTATAAAAATTATTAAGATTATGATTAAGTGATTAATTGTCTTATTTTTTGTTATAATTTCAGATACGCTAGTCTTTACTTTTGCTGTGCTGTCGAACAGTCCGACAATGAACTCTTGACATTAGAGATAATTCATCGATACGTTGAACTATTGGATAAATACTTTGGAAGTGTAAGTAAAATGAATGGTATTTAATGTTTTAATGATTTAGACTTTATAAAGGTGTGTGAGTTGGACATCATATTTAACTTTGAAAAGGCGTACTTCATATTAGATGAGTTACTTATTGGTGGAGAAGTCCAGGAAACGAGCAAAAAGAATGTATTGAAAGCAATTGCAGCACAGGATCTGCTTCAAGAGGTTTGTTATTTCCATAAATAATTGAATACTTTTGAATAATAACTGAGTTTGACTTAAAGGACGAAGTCGTTGACAATACTTTAAAAGAGTTTGGCTTATATTGAATGCACGTTTAGATTCATTAGAATCTCAATCAATGACTAATTCATAATTTCTTAAGCTTTATGTTGTTTGCCATTTAATACTAAGCGCACTGTCTTTATGTATAAATCAATGCCTTTTCTAGTCTTAAGTGCACTATTGTGTTGACCAGACAATCGTTTTGCACAAATAAAGAGATTATTTTTTTTAATTAAACGATAAACACATTATTACATAATTTCACTAAATATAGGAGGAAACACCTCAAGGATTCTTTGAGGACCACGGGTTGGGTTAACTGTGATCATCATTTGCAACATTTATTATTGAATTATTTTTCCATACATTTGGATAAACTTGTTGGCAACTAATTTATTTGTTACAATCAATAGATCCAATTGATTAAATTGTTAACATTACATATTTGATAAATATATATTTATTTGGTTTTATTCAAAATATAATTTCTTCAATCATTTCCAAACAAAATGTATAATTAGTTTAAAATGCAATAAAACTAAGTTTAAATATATAATTAAAAATACTATATAAATATTAATAACAATTGAATGTTGATCACAGATTGATATACAGTATAAATACATATAAGTTAATTAAAAGATTCAACTCGTGGGCCAATTGGCGGGACTGGACATCGAGTTTGAACCGTTTGAGGTTTCTTGTGATTGATTATCAATAGTTTGGTAATTATATTCATTGTAATCACTTTCCATAAAATATTTGCCTATTCTTGGAATTTCAGTCAAACGGCTTAATCCCAACACTACTAACAAACATCCACTCTATAAAAACAAATATTTTAAACATTATAATAAACATTAGGTAAATATAATATGTTAATCACTGACCAAATAAATTAAAAACATTAGGTAATAGACGAAGAAGAGAGCGGTGGCCACGAAGACAATTATATTATTGGAGAAGTGTTCGCTTACGTAATTGAACACAAAATAGAGATTAACTGATATGACAACAACAGATAACACTGAAGCCAACACTTTATTGATAAAACCATTGACAAACTCTCCCATTACTTTAGGTGATGAAGTAAATGTAAGAGCAGGTAGTAATGCAAATGGTAACTGAAGACTCATCAATGCGTTTAATAGATCATTCATTTCGCTTAAATTGTCGAGATTTTGGAAATAAGTTATGAGAAGAGTCGGGATTATGGCTATGGTTCGCGTTAAGAGAACTCGTCTCCAACGCGGCCAATGAAGATCTAAGAAGCCCTCCATTACAAACTGACCAGAATATGTGCCCGTCATTGTTGACGACTATATTTTTTTAAATCATATCATAAATAATAATTCAATTATATATTAAATTATTGGTACATTTGACATACCTGTCCCGCAGCAAATATGCCAATGGCCCATATATATAGGGCTTCAATACCAAATGTACACCCAAGAAATACACCGGCTTTATACAGATTAGCGTCTACTTTGTCTGTATTATTAGGAAATACATTATTATCGCTCATATTAGCGTTCATACATGTAGTGTAAACGTCGGCATTTGTTTTGTTATAGAGTCCGTGAGCAAAGACAGATGTAACGGCAATATTGATTAATAAAGATATGCCTAAAGCTATTGCAGATTCAATGAAGACATAACGATTAGCGTCACGGATATCTTCTTTCTTCTCGCGATTAATTTTACGAGATTTTACAAGAGCTGAGTGTAAATATAGATTATGAGGCATTATTATGGCACCAATTATGCCAACCGCTTGCAGCAGTTCACTGGAACCACAATCACTACAGTAGGGTAGAGCTAATCCTTCCGCCACTTTAAGTTCATTTGGTTTTACTTTGAAATATTCGTAACCAAATGTAATGGCCATAAGAGTTCTAAATATTATATATATATATAATTAATTTAATTACCAGTTTATAAATTTGAAAAAATACTATTAAATACATGAGAAATCCGAAGAATGCCTCCAATTTTCTTAAGCCATATTTGTCAAGCATTAGAAAAGTAAAAGTATCTAAAATTGTTATCAAAACTCCTGCCCAAAGAGGAATAAGTCGATGAGACAGTAAATATATGGAGAGAGCTGTTCCAATCACTTCTTGCATATCGGATCCAATTATAGCGATTTCAACCATAATCCACAAGAAAAGTCGCGGTATTTTATGATATCGTCGGTAACAAAGTTCGGCCAAATGCATACCCGTCACAACACCTAAACGGGCGGCCAATCTTTGCATAAGAAGGCCTAAGACTGTGGACCACATGAGGACCCAAAGGAGTTTATATTGCGCTACAGTTCCCGATTGAAGATCTGACTGTATATTTCCCGGATCCAGATATGCAATACTCATGAGAAATCCCGGACCAGTAAAGGCCCATAACTTACGCCAACTAAAGGCATACTATTATTTTGGACAAACATTTCAATCAAATGTTTTATAAATTAATGTTTTTAATTACCGATATATCAGTGGGAATGGGAACCGTTGACATAAAGTAAGTGTCTGTCTCTTGTGTCCGATCATTGATATCACTTTTTTCTTCAATTACTCCATAATTTTGTTTATGTCTGGAGTTTACTGTCATTTCAAAGCAATTGATTAATAATAATTAAAATATAATAATCATTAAGTGATATATTATTTATTATCAATTCATACATTCATCCGCTTCTGAAGGTTGTTGTTGTTGTGATGACTGTCTGTTATGTTTATCGGGAGTCATATCTTGCAATTGATGACCACTTTCCTAATATTCACCAAATATTGTGGTAATCAATATATTTCTTCACTTCTTAATGTTTATTGTTATTAAAACCTAAATCATTAAACTTATGTCTCAATTGATTTTTCATTTACTTTCTTATTTCAAAACATTAATAAATTTCTATAAATATATATTAATATGAAATTAAAGTCAAAACATAACATTCAATAACATATCATATTATGATTCATATATCATATCATATGTTATAAAATAAATATTAATTTAATGTAATTATAAACTAAAAATGTGTGAATGCATTGAATAAAGTGATTATCTATATATAGTATAGTAAACAAACCTCTAATAAATTCATTCAATTTGTTGTTATAAACAAGTGATTAGTATTCAATTAAAATTATATAAAATTATTTTGAAATAAATTTAAATTAACGATAAATACTGTAATTTGTTATTAAAAACGGTATTTATTTTAAATGTTTAAAAACACCAAATGTTGTGATACTGTAATAAATATAAATAACAAACGCATTACAAAACATATGAATCATTTAAATATTAATATTTGTTTGTTTTGAGCGACTTTTAAATTACCATAAATTACACAAATATTTCAATAAAATATATCATTTATACTATAAATTGTAGTTTAAATAATTATATTTTTTATTTCACAAATTAATATATATATATATATATTTATTAAATTACAATTATATTATTTGCATTAATTATTAAACTTTAGTATAGATTTTCTAGAGCTAGACGTTTACGTTAACTGTTAATATTAATAGGTATAAAGTTATGTAACTGTTATTATATTGAATATTATTTAATTATTTAATATATAACTTATTAAAAATTGTAATTTACAATAAAATAATTACATTTGTCTTATTGTATTTTCTATAATATTATTTTTATTAYAATACTTAATATACTTTAATATTAATTAAATTACAATCGATGTGTACATAAAAATCACACAAACGTGTCATTCAATTATATCTACATTAGATCCACTGTACATATAATATAGCAAATTATCTATTATTATTAGGGTTGGATCAGATTCCCTTCCCACGTMTTATTCCAAAAGTTCCCTATATTTTCTGCTGACTGGGAATTCTYAGGGAATCTATTTCCTTRTTCTATCACTTGTTAAACTTTAAACAAAAYATTTTATTWTGTTTGAAAAATAAATATTATATTTAACTCTATTTTAAGTTTTATTCATAAATAATACAAAAYTTATTGAATTTTTATTGGTAAATATWTCAGTTTTTTTTKAAAATATTTAAGTTTAGTTACTACAGTATTTATCGTAATAATATAAAATAAATTTCCCCTTTCTAACGATTTTTTCCATATTTTCCTGAAAAATTTGATGGATTTTTTAGGGAACTTCCCTCCCTAGGAATGTTAATCTAACTCTAATTATTATATATTATTAACTGTAAGTTAATAATGTACTGTAGGTATTAGAGTATAGCTAAATTTAATGTGCAGTAATACATGTATATGAACATGTGCATTTATTTGATAAAATTTAATTAAAACTTTGATTAAATTAATCAATTATATTTTAAGCCATTATTTTAAATAACATGTTTTATTGTCAATGTTTTAACTATAAATAAATATTTTTTAAACTTACAATTCTGTTTATTCTTTGACATTATTTTGTGTTTTGTAATAACCGGTAATTTTTATTTATTTAAGTTATTATTAAAGTTTTTTTTATTATATATCTAATAGCAAATATTATAAATTATTATTTATAATCTATTGAACTGATAATTATAATATATTGAAGTTGAAACTAATAGCTATATTTAATTATAGTGACATAATTTTTTTCAATTAACTCTATCATACATATATTTAAGGTATGATTTTTGAATATTTACATTAAATAAAGTTATATTCTTTATATATAGAATTTTAACCTAAATTCAATTATTGCAAAACCACTTTATGTAATAAACATGACTTAAGTTTTAAGATAATATAAATTACATAAGAAAACAATAAAGTTGTTTATAGTAAAGTACAGTATATTTAATAATTTCCGGATTTGCTAATAACTCGGACTTAATAATAATAATAGTRATAATAGAGATTAAATGAAAAGAATTTTTATTTAAAAATTAATTAATAAATTAAAYTAAAATTTTATGTTTTACAACAAAAATATGAATAAAATGTTCTACTTTTACTTCTATGTTTTTCAAATAATCAATTTTAGGGATTTTGAAAATACATTATTTAAAAATGAAACAAAATTAATTATAAATTCAGTCTATTTTTCTCTAATACTATATATAATATAATATTTGATTATTAAATAGATATTCTTAAGAATTCAAAAAAGTTTTATTAATTTAATTCATTTGATATAATAATAACTTATGATTTATTACTACTTTATCACTGATAAACTACTCTAATATTTAATTGATGTGTAATTGAGAACTTTTTGAATACAATTTTTTATTATAAAATATAATTAATTTTATTAAAATTATCATGTTTAATTAAATTAATGAATTTATAGATTAATTGAAAATTTTAATGAACTATATAAACACTATAAATATGAAAAAAGAAAGATTTTTTTTAAATAAAGAGTTTTTCTAAAAATTTATTATATATTACTATTTTACTATTAATATAGTTTGAGCTAAAGTTTTTTGCATATATATATGTTTTTAAAAAAATATAAACTATGTTTTATATATATATGACACTATAGTTTTTGTTAATAATTTGAAACATTATCAATAATAATTTATGTATTAATTATTTATTTATATGATTTAATATAAAATTAAATATTTATTGAATATTTATACCTATTGTATAATGTTTTCAATAGTAAAGTTATGTATATATATACAATGATTATTTTTGTCTTAAATTTTATATAATATAATATAACATAAATTTTTATTAAAATTTAATATAATTTTGCACAATATTTTGTTCAACCTTTTATATTGCTATTTTAATGGATACAAAATTAAAAATTAATTTGTGGAATCCATTATTTTTTTGTAATAATAATTAAATATTGATAAAAGTTAATAGTTAAAGTTAACAAAATTATATTATAATTAAAAAGATATCTAAGTTGACTAAAATTTACAACATTAAGAAATTTGTAATATTTTAAATTTATAAGTTTGATTTCAAGTTTTGTTGTATTGCATTCATTGTCAATAAAATACATTAATTTATAAAATAAAAAAATACAAAAACATATATTGTTTTATAATATTAATTTATATATTGATATAAATTTATATTGGAATTTTATTTTTAGTATACTTATATTTAGTATATTTAGTGTAAAGTATTAATAATAAAAAACAATTATAATTCCAATACAGTATATTGGGATCTTGTAGTACATTATAATAATAAATTAAAATTTGTATACAACATTATTACAGGAAAATTAAATTATAAATTTTTTTTTATTTTGAACATTAAATAAATTTATATTAATTAATAGAAAAAGAAGACTGAATAAAAGTTTTTTAGAATTTTAGAAATTGGTTTTTATTATTGTTAAACAATAAAACTTTTAAATAAGTSTAAWTAAATAATAAACAATCTGAAAATCATTCAATTAGTAAAATATTTGAAATAAATTTAAAAATAATTTAAACATATTGTTCATCAAATTCTTCATCATATGAATTATTAATTGAGTTTTCATTTTTATTTGTAATTAATTTTGAGCACAGATTATAGCCTCCATATGAGTATAAATAGCGAATTAATAATAAAATTGAAACGATTAACACAATTAAGACAATAATCCAAATGACTTCTTGAAGCAAATCCGTGTTAACTCTTGTATTAGTGTTGGTGTCGATAATCACTTGAATTAGTAAAAACATCATTAAAAGCATTAGACTTGTGATCAATGAAATGGTCAGACAATTGATGGGAATTGTCTTTTGACAAAATTTACAGCAAAATATTGATTGTCTTTCTCTTATGTATTGTCCATGAGTTGCGTAACCCATATATTGAGTGTTTTGTTCACTATTTCTCACATATTCACCAGTATTTGGATCATATGTATTATGAATTTGATTATTTTCAATACTTGATCCATAAAACAATGAATTATTTTCATGTCTCATATTATTATTATTATTATACATAATATCATGTGATGGCAGTCCATCGTCCAAATGATAATGAGGTGCTATTATGGGTCTCACACTGCCGTGAAAACTCATATTTCATAAGAAAATGTTTTACAACAATATATCAAAAATAAAATAAAAAGAAATTTATTTATTTTTTATATAACAAACATTTGTTTTATTCATTACTTATAGCTAAATARCTTAATTAATTATTCATCAAAAATGTATTGAATAAGAGAATACTAAAAAAAAACTTTAATTTAGGCAAAGATGTAAAGCAAAGATAAAAAGATATACTAAATGATATCAAACATCACCACTGCTTCTCTCAATGTCTGCATTTATTGATCCCATTTTGGCGCCCAATGTCTTGTGACGGATTTCTGCGTCGACAATGTTTTGAAAATTGTTATATATTTAGTATAATTCATCAAAATCTTTGCCATTGAAGTGTACAATGAGTTGATGTTATACTCAATTCAAAACAATATTATTTTGACAACATTTTTGTTATAATTCTTGAATTAAGAATATTCTTAACTCAAAAATAATGTTTCAATTTCTCAAATAAATATATTGCTATCCATTAAAATACCAGTAAAATTCCAATTCTTATAAATTTAATAATTTATTTTACAAAACATCAAAAATTTACTTTAAACGCTAATATAACAAATAAAAATCTACCAAAAATTTTGAATAATTTATATTTGTTGAATGCTTTTATTTTTTAGAATAATATTTCTATGTAAATATATATTTTAAAATATAAACAATATAAGTTGTTTATTTGAAAAATAATAAAAATAAATTTTAATAGTATTTTACATTAATCTTCTATTAAAAATTGATTAAAATAAGTTAACATAAAAAGTATTTATTAAAAATATTATAAGATTATTATTTAAGTATAAAGTATAATTAATTTAAACAAAAATATTAATATTTAATTTAATTTTAAATATATCAATATACTATTATAATTTAAATTTTATTTTTACATCTATGACAATATAAATTATTTGTTAACAATTTTTATTTTGATGTTTATTTGTAACTATTAAATATATAGCATGTTTTATTTAAGAATAAAATAAATATACAATATGAGAATTTTAATAATAAATGATTTATAGTGAAATGTTTTATATACAAATATTTACATAATTTTAATATTCATATATTAAATACTAAATAACTATTATATATTAAATTATCATTCATATACTGCTATTAGATTTTAAATAATAGTTTTACATTTTAATATTTTTTATATATATATACCGTGTACCGTGCATATATATATATATACGGTATACCGTGTCTCTAATATATTTTTTATATATTTATTTAAGTATGGTATAACAAAAAATATAATAATTTTTTCAATATTAATTAGTGTTTATATACAAGTTTTGATATAAATTACTGTATTGTATGTTAATACCGTAATATAGATTGATTTACTTGAAATTATCAATTAGAGAATACAATTATTCTCTAAAAGTCAAATTAACTCAATATATATTAATATTTTTTATATTTAATATTAAGAGTTTTGAAAAACATTTATTGTTTAACAAAATATATTTATTATTAATATATATTAAAGTCTTTTATGAGATGACCCCATATTTTATACTAACATTTATTTATAAGACCAAAACATTAATAACTTTAAGAATTGTTAAAAAACATTAATTTCTTTTTTTAACGAATTTATGAAATAAATGTTGACATGTTTTGGACGGAATGACATAACAGTGTCTTTAATTAATGACAAAATGCTTGAAAAATCATATAATAGTAAAGAAAATAATAGAAAATTTATTGTTATTATTGTTGAAGTGTTAGCTAATTATGTGCTCAATTAGATACCGCTATAAATACATAAATACCAGTTATATTCAAACGCCGTCAGACTGTTTGATGTGGTTATCATTGAATGGCATTAAGTTTATTGTTTGTATATACGGCTCATTAATATTTGTGTCGATGTTTTGCGGGAAGACTTGCTGTGGATTTTGTGCCATCACTTGATTGACTAAAGAATAGAACCTCGAGGAAGCACTTAATTCACTGTCATAGTTGAAGTCTGTCGGACGAAATCGTCGGGATCTCAGTCGTCGTGAGAAATGACGCCAAGAAAGTCGTGACTGAAGATGACTGGAGTCGTCGCTGCCTTTTTTGAAATACATTATTATACGGAAAGAACCGTAAAGTACGGAAACAATGAAAACCAATGAAAAAGGAAAACCAAACGCCAGTAAAATATAGTGTTGTTGTCGAGTATCACCTCTTGTCGATAGTTTGGGTAAATTCATTAATATAATGATTATAGCAATCGGAAGTCCAATCACTATTGAAGACAACATCAAACAAGTCAACGACTCTTTGCTCAAACACTTCCATTTATCTCTACTTCTACTCTCTTCCAGTGACTCTAAATTAGGATTAAAATTATATTTAATTAATATTTTAATGTTGATATAATTTATATATTTAACTATTAATACATTATATAGTAGATGATACTACTTTTTTCTATGTGTAGATATCATCATAATATTTTTAATTGTATCAAATATTTGAAACACAAATAAATGAAATTAACAACAATTTTAATAAACAAATATTTGAATGAGTAGTACATAACTATAATTTAATTATACAGTATATTTAAACTATTTTTAAAATTATTAATAAAATTGCTAATTTGGGTAAAATGTACTATTATTATATAGTACAAGACTTTAAAGCCCGTAATTACGGCCCGTTTTAATTAAATTAAATCAAAATTTTTATTATAAATATATTTTAATTCAAGGATAGTATTTATTGAGACAATAGCGACAAATAATTTGAAATATTAGTTTTGAAATGTTATGAAAACTTTGTGAAAGTGTCAGATAATCTTAAACAGCGTCGGCGGCGATGCTATTAATTACAATTATCTGGTGAACAATACGTTGAATTAATAAGTGACCAAGAGCAATGTTGTGGATAAATTTAAAATAAATAAAATTGTAATTGGTCATTTTTTAATTAATTGTATTATATGCTAAATAATTTACAGTCGACTGTTTAAAAAATTTATAAATGATAGTCGACTGCATTTATCTGGCAAATCATACAATTAATTTAAAAATGACCAATTACAATTTTATTTAGTTTAAAATCATCTACAACATTGCCCTTGGTCACTTTTTAATTCAATGTATTGTTGACCATATAATTGTAATTAATATCATCTCCGCCGCCACTATTTAAGACTCTCTGTAAAAGTGTTTCCTGTGTCTCACATATGATATCAATGCTTATAATGTGTTTAAGTGTGTTATGTTAATACATGTACTGTAGATGTATTGTATAGCTTACTGTAGTTCACAGTCACACACACAGTGCTAGTGCTATACACACAAAACTACTCCTATGTGGGTGTCGTTAATGAGTGTCGTATACTGTCTTTTATATATATTAATACACACTTAAAGCCACTCCTATGCGGGGGTCGGTAATGGGGGTCGCTTACTGTCCTTTATATATATTAATTATATAATTATATACAGTAAAATTTCATTTAAAAATGAAATGAAAATAACATACAATAATAATTACTTTAAACATTATATAAACAAGTTTGAAGTAATCCAATGACTTTAATAGTCGAAACAGTTATGAAATACTATACAAAATGAGTTTTTTAATTAATCAATTTTTATAGATATTTTGTGTGTAATTTACCAATAATTAACTATTGTTTTGATCTCTTAGAAAACTTTATAATTATTCAAATACTATATACAAATATATGATTTTACTTTGACATTAATTTTATGAATTAAATTATTKCAAAAAATAATTCAAATTAATCAGAGTGAAAATTTCGAAAAAAAATCAAGTTTACATCCAAATTATATCTTTACAAAAATATTATTAATTTTTTACAGTATATACAGTATATACAGTATATAATACTATAGCATTATTGCTATTTAAAAATATTTACAGTATTATAATAAATTTTTGAATTGATTCTCTCATACATTTAAAATTAGAGAATTATTGTTTTTTGATGAAAATTAAATTAAATTAAGTTATTTTAATAAACATTTTATGTATTATATTATAAGTATTATTAATTAAAAGTTTCTAGGTCATTTTAGCAAAAATAATATAACATGATATAATTGAAAATAAAAAACAATAAGAATCTTATTTTATTATTCAATTCTTTTTAAACTTTAATTTATACTATTATAAACTTAGCTCATATTTTTTTATTATCTAAAATATAATAAATAAATGCTAAAATTAAAATTTTAAATATATTTTCAAGAAGATTAGAGTGAAAGTTTTAAGTTTCAATAAAAAAATATTTAAAGTATAACATTACAAAAATTCAATTACTTAGACGACAATAGAATTCAACCATCGATTATATTAATAATTCAATTTTTATAATCAATTATAATTTAATACTTATATTATATGTTAAATCTTATGCAGTATTGTATGATAAATATATARGTGATATATATTATATTACGATAAACTATATTATATATACAGTATAGATTTGATATAAACTATTATTATATCAAATTAAAATATTTAAAAATTATAGACTTTTTATTTGAACATTTAAATACTGTATATAATGTATATCTAATTAATATTTTAAAATCAGAAAATCGTTTAATGATAAATTATTTTAYTTAAAATAAAATTTTATATGAAGTTATACATGAAGATTGAATAAATTTAATTTAAAAATTTGAAGACTATTAACACAGATTTAAAATATTATTAATTGTTTTCTGTGTATATTATCTAAAATTTATGATTCTATACCATATAGACATACAATTATTAATAATATATTTACTAAATGGTTAGGTGTTAGTCAGTAAATGCCTAACTATCTAAACTATACAGTAGTTTAGTCACGTAATAACATGTAATAAATTGAATGTTTTGACAAATATTACATGGCATACAATTTAATAAATTAGCTTGTTTATTATATAGCAAAATATTGAAACTATATACTGTATATATATATATATATATATATATATATAATATATAGTGTAGTACAGTAATGTAAGTTAATCTGAAAATGTTAGACTAAAAAATCAATGTTAATAAAATGAGAAATAAAATCTTAATGAAATATATTTAGATTTTTTGTTATAAATAAATATATAATTTAATGAAATATATTGTATTATAATACAGTATAATAAGTTATTCTATTGTATTGTTATAAATAAAACAAATTTGCAATTTTAAAACATAATACATTACTTTTCTAAAATTAAAATTTAAAATAAATAAAATATGTTCTAATAAAAATTATCTAGGTATTTATAATAAATATAATAATAATAATAATAAAGAATATGACATTTATTACATCATAGATAAGTTATTATAATTAATGATAAAATAATAATATTAATAATTATTGACAATAACAGACATTTTGTATACAATTGTCTAATTGAATGCTTGCCTGCAATGCATTAACGTTTTGTCAGCAAAACTCAAATAAGAGTAAATAATAGTCAATACTATTGTCGTTATACAGTAAATGTAATAATAATGATATACTGTATTACTGTACAGTATATATCATATATAAGTAATATTACGAACATTTCATTTACAGTATATTTATTGACTCTAATTGTTGACAATATTCTCACTGATTATTATTATATTTATTATAAATATTAAAGTGTGTATAAATAAATGATACAATACAATTTGCTGTTTTTATATTAAATACAAAAATACAATTTAATTTTTAATATTCAACACTTATTTCTAAATATAAATTACAAACAATAAATAAAATGATAACATAGTTATGGATAAAACATAATATCCTTTAATGCAAATTTATAAACTAATTATAATTAAGTCAGTTATTCTTATTTTTATATTCTATATATTTTAGTTAATTATCATAAATTAAACTATATTTTTATTTAGTTTTTAAAACTAATATACAGTAGTTTTAAGTATACATTTATATATCATATCTATTTAAAGATACATATGCTTATTTTATTACAAATTAATTTAAATTAGTTTAAATTTCTATTTAATTTATATGCAATGTAACTAAATTGCATTTTCTGCTAATTATATGATAACTATTATATTAATGTTCTATATGTTAAACTATAAATTTATTTAAAAAGTTTGCATATTATAAAATAATTATTTATAAAACAAAATCATACCGTTTGCATCATTATGTTGTGCCGATTCATTATCATTAGACATATTGGCTTTTAGTAAATGCACAATACTTTTATTCAACAATTAGTACAGTATATACTCTACTAAATTACTTTATCACAAAACAAGTTTTATGTTTAAATATATTTTGTTAATAAATTAAACAATTTTAAATATTTTTTACATTATCATAATTTATAATTTCAAATAAGCACATAAAATTAGTTAAAAATATTATTTCATAAAAATTATTTTACATAAAGACATCTTAATAAATGTTTTAATTATTAGACGGAATATATTATCACTAATATATATTAATTGTAATAACTATAATAAGTTTGAACTTATTTGAGTATCTGATTTGTGAGATAATGCAGACCTTATGTTAGAATCGATGACCAAAATCTGATAAGACATATACTGTATATGAATTGGTGTGAATCCGGTTAATACATTACCTCCTGTACTGTATCATTGCATCTCTATATCCCATATCTATAACTTACATGCGCTGCCAATTCATGAGAGTTTTGCAATCATTTTCAACCAAATTTCAATGCAATGCATCAAAAGCTTTCTTATGGCTCAACAATGTAGAGGTTCTCAATCCTTGGTTTATCAGCCTTTATAAAACAACCCATTATTTAGTTTTTAATTTTAATTTATAACTTTAGTAAATAATATTTTATTAAATAAATAAACAATTATTATTGTTAAAAATATTTTAATTTAGAGTATTTATTAAGTAGTGGTAAGTTATAGATATATATCACTGTATTGTGCGAATTGGTTTGTTTAGCAATTTATATAACAAATATTGAATCGATTGACGCCAAACAAGTAAACCATTTATCGATCGTCACCGGTATTACAGGGATTGTTGTGTCGGTGCTATCGGTCGACAGAGTCTCTCTACTCTATGCAATGCATACTACTGTATAGCTTATGATAAACAATCATATCTTTGCGCATATAATTTATCCCTAAAAGTATTTCTTAAGCTTTGCATTTATAAGTAATAMATTGAATACTATTGAGTAAACAAATCCCTCAAATAAAATTTTTTTTTGTTATTGTTTGTTACAATTTAATGCAAATATTTTTCCACTTTAATAGCGATGCAAATACTACTGTATATAACAGTAGTATTTAAGATATGTGTCCTTTAAAATAATCGTAATTTTAATAATTATTTTTAAAAATTTATTAACATTTTTGCTATATTACACAGTATACAATATTATATAATGTACTTTATACAATATGATAACTTTAAATGTTAAAATAATATCTAATTTACTTTGTTATGATTATTTTAATATATTTTTATTAAATAAATAATAGTAGAAAATTCAATGCAATAATTTTATTAATTTTATTGAATTTACAATCAAAATTTACCAGATTAATATTTCATTATTAATATTTATGCAAATAATAAAGCATTTTGAATATTAAAATTTATATATATTCTGGAGATGAATATTATTGACATAATTACTTATTATAAATGCAAAAAATACTAAATATAGAAATAGATTCATTAGGTAAACGTAGAGTAATGCAAAATCATAAATTAGTTTTTTAAAATAAAACTTCAAAATAAAGATATTCCTCTAAATTGGATATCATTTGTTAAATTTTATCAAACAACTAGAAATGGGATAAAATACAGAAAAAATGTCAATCGATTGAAGAAATTTGATAAAAACTTTTTTGATTATAATGTAGAGGTATTTAATATTTTGCCACAAAATATTAGAGACGAATCTAATTTTAAGATAATAAAACTACTTAATTGACATTATAATTAATGAAGTAATTTTATATATTTTTAAATATTTTTATTGTAAAATATTTGTTATTTAATATTATATTTTATTTATGAATATATTGTATTTCATGACAAGTATATGAAATAAAGATTATTATTATTAAATATAAATATTTAAAAAAGAAATTAATTAAATTATAATAGCGTTAACTTTATTATCATTAGTTTTACTAACCTTTATCTATATAGTAATTAATACTTCAAAAATAATTTTTAATTAAGTTAATCATTATCAAATAATTATATATATATATAAATAATCATAAATATATGCAGCTTATGATGTTAGTGTACAAGATTTTTTTTATTTATTATATAATATTCAATATTTATTAATTCTAATAGAATTCTATATTTATTCATGATTTTTAAATATATTTTTTAATATACAGTACATTATCAATATATAATATTATACAATATTTGTTATACACTGTGTACAATAAAAATAAGTGCACTTTTAGTCTATTGGTAGCAATTTAGACAAATAAAGAATAAATAATTCATTCATTAAAAATAATAATAAATAAAATAAATTGTTTTGTCAAACATTATTATATTAGTTGGATAACATGAATTTACTAATTTAATCAATTTAGAAAATATATATACAGATCAAATATCAACAATTAGGTTAGTAATAAAATATTAAGTCGTTTAACAAAATTGTTATTATATACTCTACTTTCCACATTATTCTAGACTATTTCCATTTATTTCTATTATCAAATAACAATAAACTAGGTCATATTTAATTTCTAAATAATTCTAATGTGTCGTTTATTCTAATATTTATAATGAAACAAAAATTATTGAAACATTTTTATAATAATATTTTATATAATTATTCTATATTAACAGTACATTGAAATAATGCATGTGTTGTTTACTAATTTATAATACTTTATAAAACTAATTTTGCTATTAATTTTATTAATTGTTTACTAGTTTTCAAAAAAATAACGCTATTGCTTATCATGTATTTGATCATTTTGTGCTAATTGATCCATGTTATTTTTATCTATATTTATATCTAATGGTTTGGCTAATTGTACGGTTGGGCAGAGGAGAGCCATTTCATATGTTGGAGGGCTGTCATCAATGGTAATGCGGGGATCACACGACACATTAACCAACACTCCATTTGTTAGATGTCTATATTCCAGTGCCATAGGATAGGGTGGTTCACAATTATAGTCGATATTATTCTCATATTCTCTAATTCTTGTGTGTCTTATTAATGGTAAGGAATAAATATTGTTGTGATGATTGTGTCCATAATTTAGTCCATAATTTAGTCCCATATTATCATTTATGTAACGATAATCTTCTCGTGAATTATCATCAATTCTCTTATAAAACCTAAATATCTGTATTTTTATGAATTAATGTTTTTTAAAAAGCAATTAAATTAAATATTATAAAATAAACTATTAAAATCTATTATAATATTAACCAATGTTTAAATTAAGTAAAAATCATTAAACATTTACATATAAATTTAATGCTTTTAATTTAATATTTGTGAATCAAAGATATATACCTTATTAATGATAACTGTTATGAAGAATAATATAAATGGAAAAATAAAAGCCAAACAAAAGATGACAAACGTATAGATCGCATACTCGTGAAGATTATTCTTCTGCATCATAAAACCAGAGATCAATAGCAGAGTTATAGTTATCGGCAATACAATGGCCACAATGCAAGTCAACACAGGCTTTGTACACAATTTGCGACAATATTGATGTCCGGATGAACTTTGTCTCCAGAAGTTAATCAATAATCCTAATTAATATTTTAATTAATGATAATATCATTAAAATTAGTTTAATTTTTATTTCATACCATTTCTATGCAATGAATTATTATGTGTTTGCATTCCTGTTGTTATTACTGATGAAGAAATATTTGCTATCATTTTTTATATTAAAGTAATTGATTTTAAATATATAAATTAATAACAAAGTGATTTATAATTTTTTAGTAAGATGATAAATTATATTTATTTAAATTTATTTATTATAAAAACAATTAATTATAATCATATATATTTATAATCAAACTCATCGCTTAACAATAATATTGCTATACTTTAAATAACATAAAATAAATGTAATAAAATTTGAGATAACTTTGTATTTGTTCATTATTTTTAACACAAAATTAATGAATATTAAAAATTTTAATTAATTATTAAAAACTATATAAATTTAAAATTAAATCATTAAAAAATAAATGAATTGTTTTTCATTGGATAACAAATGAAAGCAATAAATGTAATGAAAACAATTGCCAAACTCATAGTGGATTCACTTATAATTAAATTATCGATTTTCACGAACTCCTGAAAGGAGATCGTATATRCATTCTATAAGTCTGTCGGTCTGTCCCACGAGGACATAGGTTCGAATCCACACTCTGCTACACATTTTTTTGAATTTTTTCTTTCTTAAATTAAGGAGTTCGTATGGAAATGCCTTTGAAGCATTCTCAACTGGTTCTTTATATAAACAATTTTATCAATAAATACTTATTTACTTAAATTAAATTGTTTATAAAATTATTAATTTATAAAATACTTCATTTAAACAATTAAAACTATATTTAACAATAAAATTGTAGTAAAATCAAACTCATATTTATATAAATTGTGTGATCAAAATAACAAAAATGTTTTTAAGAAATGATAATTTTTATAATTGTAATAATTTTTTATTGTTTTTTAAATTACTTTTTGATTTTATTGTATATATTTAAAACCAGATAAGAATGCTAAATTAGAAAGCATTATCAGAAAAAAACTTTGATGACATAAAATATTATGTTCGCAAATTAATTGTCAGTTGGTTTTAGTCATATAGTCAAATGACTCAGTTTAACAAAATAAACTCATTTATAGTCATGTAGGATATCAAATGACAGAGCATCACAAAATAAACTTAACTATARTGATGTGGGAGATCAAATGATTCAGTATGACAAAATAAAGATTACTCATGTGTGGTATCAACTGATTTAATATACAAAATCAAGTTAAATCATACTTTTGCCGCCATTTAAAAAAAAAAAAATAAAAATTTTGTGCTATTAAATCTTATTTTTGGTGCTCTTTAGAATTCTAAACATTAAAATTTTTACCTAATTTTTTTTACTTTGGCCGCTATTTTCTCTGTTCACGAAGAGATCAAAATTTTAATGCATAATTCTGACAGACACACAGACAGACAGACACACAGACAGACAACACACAGACAGACAGACACACAGACAGACAGACACACAGACAGACAGACAGACAGACACACAGACAGACAGACAGACACACAGACAGACAGACACACAGACACACAGACAGACACACAGACAGACAGACACACAGACAGACACACAGACAGACACACAGACAGACACACAGACAGACAGACACACAGACAGACACACAGACAGACACACAGACAGACACACAGACAGACAGACACACAGACAGACAGACACACAGACAGACAGACACACAGACAGACACACAGACAGACAGACACACAGACAGACACACAGACACACAGACAGACAGACACACACACAGACAGACACACAGACACACAGACAGACASACAGACAGACAGACACACAGACAGACAGACTCAAAAAGGCTYGTATAGAATTCAGTAAATAAAACTTTTTGTTTTTTATTGAAAATTTGTATTGCATATGTAYAGTACAGTATAATTTCATTTTATCAATATGTTATGAATCTTATGATTAAATAGATATTATTATTATTATTATTATTATTTAAATTAAACCAAATTCGTATAGATTTTTATTAGTTCAAAAAAAACTATTTCGTAAATATTTAATTATAGAGTTCGAKCACTTTCCCAAAGAGGAAGTTCCCTAATAAAAACACGGAAAATATGAAAAATATTTTATTTTCTCTCCATTAATGGTTAGAAAGGAAAAATATATTTTATATTACCGGTAATAATAAAGTTACGGTAATATTGTAATGTTTGTAATATGTTATTATTAATACTATACTATACTATACATAGAATTAAAAATATGTATACTGTAATTAAAATGTAATATGATATTTTTTATTATATGTTGTAAAATAAAAATTTTAACTTTAATAAAATTAGTTAGTTTTACTTTATATCTGATTTATTTTTATGCAAATTTTATAATATATATATAATTTGTTGAAAATATAATACGATTTATCACACATTCATTTTATTTAATGGATAATTAAAAGTCATTTATCATTTTACGGTTAAAAAATATTCATCAGTATATTAACCGGTAATTTAATTAATAAATTTAGTTAATATACGGTTTAATATATTGTATTTTATTTATCTAAAACTTAAACTTAGAAAATGTAAAAACTATAATCGTATACATATTAATGTTAATTATAAACAATTAATATATGAAATTATCATCCAATGTCTTCATGATTACCAAATGAGACTAAAATTAAACAATTGATATCATAAATGAATATAATATAAGAAATATTGAAATAATTGACTACAAAAGTCATACCTTCCGAGTGTGAGTTCAGGCATTCCCGGATCCGATCCTTTCTTCAGACCTAACAATTAGTAATTATAATCAATAGTTTGTTTTTAAATAAACAATTAATCATTAATTATGGATCAAATACCAAGATATATGACGACCGGTATATAGGAATAGTTGTAAGCGATTCTCATTAATGACAAAACTGATGTCAATCGGGCTTTGGTCTCGGCGTTCATCATTAAAGTGGTCACCAATTGATTCAATTATTCAATCACTTATCAATTCAAATGAAATAACTATTTAAATAAATCAATGTTTTCACAGCACATGCATTGCTATTGCAATAACTAATACATTGTATAACACATAGAAAATAACATTGAATTCTATGACTACTACTGTAATGATGATAACTATTGCCTCAATTGGCAGCACTTGTGTCCCTATTATAACAAATTAGTAATTATTGTAAATTGAGATCAAATGTATGTATTGTATGTATTGGAGACAACATTAGTGCCAAACATTCATAATGTCTATGACTTTCAATATTCATATCAAAACTTATGGACAAACAATACAATACGTGTCGTATATATGGGTAACCAAGTGATGGCTTATGTAGTGATCAACAGTGGGGTCACCACTGAGTCATACAACTCAACAATGAATGTCTGTTATATTGAGTGCCATTTGTTTTGATTTGATTTGTGTTTACTTTAATTGTTTAAACACTTGATTGTGATTATTGTCAACAAACCTAATAAGTCATGTCGTCGGCTGTATTAGTGGCCAATCAGTCGACAATTAGTACCAATTCAAAGATGAACTCAATTCATGATAATAATAATGTGATCGATGCGGACAAGAGTTTGGCAAAAGGCGATACCAATGAGGATAATCTTTCTTCGTTTATGGAAAAACTTCACACGAGATCATCACAGATGAAGTCGTGGACAGAGTTAACCAAAATTATGAAACAATCAGTTAATGAAAAGAGACATAACATTGACGTGAATGAGAGGAATCAGTTACAGAAATGTTTGGACACAATTCAGAAGAGTATTCGCGTCACTTCTTTGCAATCAATGGTTGAACGTTTGGAGACAATCTGTCGACAATTGGGTCTTAAATTTAGTCTTCCGCCACAAACGAGTCCAAAGCGAGTCGAGTGTTTTGTTCACTCGGAGATGTATTACGTGGAGGTCCTGCTGGAGGGGCCCACCGGTCACGTACTTGATTGCAAAGTTGCCCATCAGGCAGAAGCTCTGGTATGTCAACACAACTACCAAACATTTGATTTGAATTAATCTTCTGTTATATAGAGTTGTCTCGAACTGACAGAAGTCTTGCAAAACGGAGATTTTGTTGAGTTTACCAAACATTTAGAAGGATTGTCAGCAATATATCAAATAAATGCTGATAAGTATGTTGTTGTCTAATATATAACAATATAATAGTATTGTATTAATATTACTATATTATTGATGATTTGAATTTGGTTTTTAAGGAAAAACAAAACCAAAGCTTATTTGGCATTACATGCACTTGAAATTGATTTGTCGAGTTTGGCTGAACTTCAGAAGTAAGTATTGAAATATTTGAAATTTTATAATWTATTTTACAATTGATTTATGATTTTACTTATAGTCATCAAATTAATGATATAAATAATTTGGTTCACAAATCTCCGGTTGGAATCTTAGAGCCACGAAAGGGTGGACATCCCATGAGACTGACATACTTTGTCCCACCATATGATCTTATAGATGTTGCCTCTAAGTCATGTTTACCACTTAATGTGGAGGGTTAGTGCTTATAACTATAAAGATGATAACATTCTGTAAAATTGTGATTTGAATCTAATAGTGATTTTAGAGAAAAAGTTGGGCTCTTCGGCCACAGTTTGTATAGAAAGCTCTTCATCTCATCGCTTACAACACGAATCTCTAATAAACACATTGAAAACTCCCGAAGGAAAGAATTTGCCTCAATTTTCTGCGTTGACTAATCTTAATAGTACTCAACTTCCCGCTTGTTTTGTACTTAAACTTCAAAAACCATTGGTTGCATCAATTGATATCTTGAGGAAAATAAGAGCTGACACTAACATTGATTTGAATTACGAACAAATTCATAAAAGAGAACCAATTATTCAATTACTTGCAAAACAATTATTGACACCAAAGACTGGAAATCAAATGGAAAATTCTCCCTTTTATGTTAAACTTCCGAATCAAAACCATTGCTACCATTTAAATGAAAGTTGCGATAAACTGGAAGGTGTTGTCATAACATCGATTCCTATAACTCATCCGACACATGTGCCCAGAATTTTGGTCCATTTAAGACAACAGGTCTTATTTAACGTAATAATTGGTAGTTTTATTCGTCAAACTTCTAAATTTGGTATGAATTTTAATTTTGTTTTTTAACTTTGAATAAAATTATTAATAATATTTTATTACTAATATATTGTTAAAACAGAAGATACAACAAACATATTTGAAGTGACAGCCACTTCAATGTTGAATATAAACATCCAGTTTGAACATCCAACTGAAGAATCACTGGCCACTGTTGATCTGGATCTCAGGGATATCACAAACGTTAAGTGCAAACTTTATCCATCAAATCTATCATCGTTTTGTTCAGATGACTACTCATCTAAAGTGATGCAAAGGTATTATTATTCAATTATAATTTTTTTAGCGAATATTTATAACTAATTTTGATTATAATTTATATTTAAGATGTCTTTCAATTCCGGTTACAATGCGATCTATTATAAATAAATGCAAAGAGAGAGCGGCCACTCTTAAGGAACAGATGGGCAGAGAACAGGCTAAACAAATGCAACCAAATGCTAACGATTTGTATTTTTCGTCACTTAATTCAGCTAATGGTTCATTAGATCAGAATGGAAGACAACAATCTCTTTCATATCTATCTCAACAGTTACAACAATACAATGGAAATCAACAATTTATGAATCAAAATAATGGTTTTCAAGGACATCAACAACATTTACAAAGATTTTTGGCACAAAAATTACAAACACAATTGAGTCACGACACCAATCAACAAACCAGACCACAGATGACATTACAACAATTCCAACAACAACAGCAACAACAACAACAACTAATACATCAGAATCAGATGCTAAGTCCAAATGGAAACGGACAGAAACACAATGCAATGTTAATGAGTATGTTAAGTGACTTACCCGCTGCTAATTCTCAAATGGCTTTAAATTTACTTAAACAACAACAACAGCAGCAACAACAACAACAACAGCTTCAACAACAATACCAATTACAACAACTGCAATATATGCAACAACAACAACAATTACAACCAAAACTTAAAAAACAACGAAAAAGAAAGGCTACTAATGATAACATCAAAAGTCCCGGGAGTTCTACAGGAAAGAGCCCTAAAAGAAAACTAAGTGATGACGACTTTAACCGTGAATTTTCAGACGAACCGTTTGGTGATGTTTATCAATGGGGTAATGAAAATCCCAACACATTTCGTGGGACATCTATGAATGAAATGATTGGAAATATAAAACAAGAGATGAATTTATCGGGTGCTACGACACCTACCAGTGCTGACTCATTGAATTCAAATTTTTCATTTGCGAATCAGAGAAATACTTTTGGAGGAACTTCTAACGATTTAAACGATTTTTCTTCAAATGAGTTAACAATTTATGGAGAAAGTGGTGGTTCTGATGTACTGATGAATGATATTAAACCATTGACTTTAAATCACTCGATTATTTCAGGTAAAAGTGCTAATAAACGAGTAAATAAACGGATGAAAAGTGATGCAAGTGATGATGCGAGTGGAACGGGTGATGAGGGACACAATGAACAGTTAAAGATTATTAAATCATTGGAAGATTTGCATCAAAAGGATAACTTTTCCAAATTTATAAACAATTCTAAAGATTCAATTCCTGGTGTTTCGGAATCTTTGAGGAAAGGCGGCTTAAATAGTATAAAAACACTGAAAATGTCTAATAAAAGTGATGTCCGCCGATGTTCCAGTGCTGGCATTGAAACGGGATCCGAACAAAAGAAATCGGGAAATTTACAAATTATGGACGATATGCCTACAGATATGACTGCTATTAAAAAAGAGAGAAAAAGAAAAAGAGCAGAAAGTGTTGATAGCCTTAAAGCGTCGACTACTTGTGCCACTTCTTCCACAACCAATAGATTAACATTGACTTCAACGACATCTGAATCATCAATAATGCCGCCGCCAATGGTTGGCTCAATTACTGATGTTAGCTCTTCTTCGAGTTTGACATTTCTTGATGCAAATTGTTCACAAAAAGTAGTTCCAAATGTTAATATTAAAATGTCTCCGACTTCTACTAGTGTTACTTCACCACAGATGAAAATAACGAGTTCAGGCAAAAGATCATTAATTGGTGCAAATGTCACGTCGACGAGTAGTAGCGATGGAAAAGTTTCTAAGAATTTGTCCAATAAAATGGATAAAAATGCAAACATTTCGTCACTTATTAAGAGCCAAAAACAGGGATTAGCTGTGGCTATGAAGGCAACAGATTCTGAAGGTATGTCACTTATGGGTTCTTCACAAACACAAAAAGGAATGTTATTTAAAACAAAAACAAAATCATCTAAAAGTGGACTTAATGTGTCTCCTGGAAGACCTAAAGAACATAAGATACAAGGATTAGGTATTGGAAAAATAAAATCCGGAATATCTTCGACTTCAGGTCTTTTAGCAAAAGCTGGAACAACAGCTGTTTCTTCATCATCTTCTATGTCTGGACACTCATCGGGTTCTTTGACTTCAGTTAGTCCACCGGTCACGTCATCAAAGCAACAAAATGCAACTAAATTAGCAAAAATTTCTCGTAAAAGCTCTTTGACTGCAGTTGTTGATCGTTTACATCAAAAACAAGATGGAGTGACAACTGGAACACCCGGTCAGAGTGGTTCTGGAGAATGTAGTGGACGACCTGAAAGCAGCTCTTTATCTCGACCCGACACTACATCAACTACTAAAGCAGTTCAAGGAAGCGGTAGTAAAGTGAATGAGCCAAAGAACAAATATCCTCGAAGTTCCGATCAGTTCACTATAAAGCAAACCAATTCTGGCGGTGGACTTAAAATGAGTATAACTAAAACAAAACTATCAGGTGTTGACAGTAGTAACAAAATAGGACCGGGAGGTACGGGATTGTTTAAGAATACATCGACTTCGAAATTTACAATTCCTAAATTACCAAAAACTGCACAGCCATCCACTCCCAACCCCACTCCTTCAAGTCCATCTACGACTGCATTGACATCGACTACAAGTCCCATGACATCAACAAATCCACAAATGAGGCGACCTATAAATCCTAATACCAAAGTGACCGCCGGAACCGGTGTTCGACCAAATGTTTCGAGTTCTACTCATCCCACAGGAGCTGTACTTTCATCTAAAGGAGGTTTTAATTCTCCACATAGTAAGGCATTTTCAGATAGAATGGGCGCTAAAAATACAAACACTCAGTCTGTCGTTAATAAGACTAGTGTTGGCTTTAATAATAAATTTAAAGTATCTCCAGAACCTTCTTCTACCACAAAAGTAAGTCACAGTGAGATCGGTGCCAATATTAGTACGATTCCTGTTTATCAAAATGCCAACAAACCAGTGAATGAGGTCCGACCCGGAATCTACTCCAAGTTTGATGGAATACCATCAGCGATGGCTGTTCCATATTCTAGAAGTATAAGCGCTTCATTGGGTAACGTAAGCCCACAATTTCCTGCCTCTACTACTTCACCTGTACTACAAACAAATAAACCAAATTTTTTGAAATCACTTTCTGTTAATGAAAATGAAATCAATGACCGGATGTACAATAATTGGAGTCAAATACAGGACAATATAGAGTCTAGAAGTGATTCATCCAACAAAAGTCAAGCTATTAACTCAACTAATAGTGATATCCCTCAAAACACTTCTGATAAACCAGGAGTCAGTAGTAGTAGCGATATTAAGGCATCGACCAGTACTCCTAGTTCTCCGGCTGAGCTAATCTCAGATGCCATACAAAATCCACCACCGCTTATACCAATTGAAGCAATTGAGGATTCATCTGAAGTGGGAAGTGTTGGCATTGAAGCTATTGATGCGAGAAATGAATGCGAAAATTCATCTCAAATAGCGATTGATTCGAGTGAACAATTAGAGGCACAGGAATGCTTGCCCTCACCTTCTAATGTCAATATGAGTTCAGATAATTGTACCACTCTTTCGACAAACGAGACAAATAACGAAGTATCGACTTCTGATAACTTAAGAATAGATCAGTTGCAGAGCAATGTCAGTCAGTCAAGAGTCGAAGTGCCAGAGGTTTCTGAAAGTAATAAAGTGGTTCCAGTCGATGATGACGAAGATGCAGATGGTTTGGTTATTGATGAGTCTTTATCAGAAGTAAAACCAGCGCCAATTCGAACCACAATTTCATCTAACAGTGAAATTGTGTCTTCATCGACATCTCTTAATGCTTCTAATGAGAGTCAAAGTCCAAGCAAGTCATCGACGTCTCCCATATCCAGTACTAACACTCCATTTACTTCTTCAAACCCAGCATTAGCTTTGAGTTCAATGAGCAGTACATCATTTATTCCGGTAAACTCACCGTCCAATCAATCGAATAACAATTCCATTCAAAGACCGTCACCTTATTTAGCAGATATTGATGACGAGCTTATGGATGAAGCACTGGTTGGCGGTTCCAATGAATAATTAATTCATTTATTATAAAATATTGATTAATTTAATATACATTAATAATTTATTCTATACATTATGTATTATATTAAATTTAAAAGCATATAAATTTAATAAATGTGGTTAAAAATGTGATACAAATGTAAGAAATAACAACAATTATAGTGAAAATCGAGATAAATATAAGGAAAAAATGGTAAGAAGTCTTACTGGAAATGTCGAAGAAAGTGAAGTATTTAACAATTATCGTTAGTAAACGCATATAAGACCAGCGATTAAATGCCAATTTCTGCCCACATATCAAATGATTAGTTAAGCAGTTATCAAATTATTGCCATTATTTAGACCTTTCTTATCGTTCCAACCCTTAAAATATGCCATTTATTAACAGTTGTATAAAATGCCAAATAATGCCTACAAAGAGTTGATTTTTAATTTAATGACTGATCGCAAACTGATTATTGTATTAATTATTATTTCTATAATTACCGTATTATCATATATTTAATTTTAAATTACATATATATATAATAATAATAATTGCTTTTGACTGGCCTTTAAATAGTTTGATTGCAATAGACTGGTCTCATATAATGTCTGACCTCCCAATCATTTCCTACTCCCACAACAAATGTTGATTTAGTGGTGATCTTTATACCTGTTTAGTACTACTGTTTACTACGAGTGGTAATACATAGTATGCAAACTGTAGTTCAAACAGTTCTCCTAAAAGAGATAAATATATCTATTGTATTGGTTTTTATATTATATAATGTATTAAAYATACAAATTATAGAATAATTTCAATTAACTTTTCGGTTATTTGAGATTAACTATTCATACAATCAATTTATAATCACWTTATTTGATCAATAAGTTATGAAAATTCCAGGGTTGGAAAAATACAAGGTTTTGAATTTGTATAAAACAGTTCAACATTTCCTCCAAATTTCCCGAAAAATATAGGAAATATTTCATCGTTAGAAAGGAAAATATATTTTATATTATTGAAATAAATAGTACCATAACTTAAATATTTGAATATTTAAGAATACCATTTAAAATACAGTTTAATACAATGTATTGCTTGTATTATACATTTAATCTCAATATACCTGTATATATAGCTATTATGTTAAAAAAAATTTAATGACAATATAATTGTTAGAAAATCATTAGTTTTATAATAATTGTTGTTTTCTTAAGATAAAAATAAAATAAATTAAGATAAAAAATAGAAAAAATATATTATAATTTATAATATTATAAAAGTTTATTTTTGATTATAAGTAAAACTAAGTTTTGTTTTTTATACAAACATTTTGTCACTGCAGTGCCAACACTGGAAAATTTGAATTAAAATAAGCAAAATATAAATATAGGCTATACTTTACATATTAAAGTTTATTGTATACATTAATTAAAAGTAAATTGCATTTATTGACATAAGTTTTAATTTATAGTATAGTTTTGATTGTTTGGTTTTAACTAAATTTTAACAAAATATAAAATTAATAATAATTGAAAATTGTCAATTAAAATAATTATTTGTTTATATATTGATCGATTATTTATAAAAATAAAACATTTATTAATATAATTTCAATTACTGTTAAATTAAGAGATAAATTTAACATTTAATTTAATTTAATAAAACACTTAAAATAAAATATTAAAAGAGAAACTCTCTATAAGTTGTAAACAAATTTATGTCTCAGTTTRTTATTAGGACTGAGCCTCAGGACAGGTAAAGCCGTTAACGTGACTAACATATAGTTTATAGATTTATATTAATATTAATTTGTATATAATTTTATTAAATTAAATACAAAAAATAATTTATCGAAAATAAATAATAAACATGTTTTTTGTACTGTATTTGTAAAAATATAATACAATCATATCTACAGTATTATAATATCAATTCATTTATGTAAATATGTATTTTTGTATACTTTCCTAATAAAAGAGAGAGAGAGAGAGGAAAGGGAGGGAAAAAGTTAAGAGCGCTTATGTTATGTTGTATTTAATATGACATCCAATGGGAGGACCGTTGGATCCGTTGGGACTCACATTTAAATCGACTGAAAACAAGTTGAAAAGCAAACCAAACTGTTTTCGTTTGATTTAAATCTCTATTTTCATTGCTATTTAAAAGTTATTAAAAATTTTATTAATTTCATCGATAATATTACTATTAATGGATAAAATAAACAAATCTAAGAACCGTTTGACTAAAAAAGTGACAAAAAATGAGATAAATAATGAAAATCGTATTGAAAAGCAAAATAAAGATAAAGAAAGAAAGGATAAGAAGATCGAGAGATCTAAGAAAGAAAAGTATTCAACAATCAGTTCACAGACTGTTCTCAAAGAGATGAAGAACTCAGCGCTCAGTAGTATTCAAAACTTCAGAAATACTTTCGACAACTTATCTCAAGTAAGATATCATTCAAAACAATACTTAAATAATTGTTGAACTATTGATAATTCAATGCAATTGAAATCAAAATAGCGATTAAAACTGTCGACAAACAGACCGATAAACAGATCGACAGACAGTGGCAACAGTTATGAACAGTTGAGTGTCTGTCAAACACCGATACAAATGTACTCTCCGTTCGGAATCGAGACTCCGAGTCCACGACCGACCAAAAGATCTAAAGTTAAGAGGTATTCATTTGATTTTATACTATAAATCATATCTTATTGTCAAATGTTTGTTATTTTAATTATATTAATAAATATTTTGGTAATCAATTTGCAGACATTTGCTTCTACCATACGATCAACTTTCGGAAAATGATATTTAAAAAACAAATAATACAGTAAATGATTGATACAATTATTGGTAATTTTTCACACAATTTACTATAATTATCATACTTTTCATTAGCATTATTCAGATTACCGGCAATACATTTACGGTAATATAACATACCCTAAGTATCAATAGTAAATAATAACAATTTAAAGTATGTATTATTTTATAATTTATTAATTAAAATTATAAATATTAAACATTACTATAATTTAATAAATGTTAATAAACTGTATAATGATTTTTAATCAGACATATGAAGTGAAGCACAGAAAGCAATATGATTACCGTATTTCCTGACTTAATTCCCGTATGAAAATCATAAAAATATGAAAATTAATTCATACGGTAAAAACACACATTTTTTACCACCCTGGTAAATTAAACGAAGGTGAARGGAAAGCAAAAATAGGGGTATTTTAAGAGTATTTTTYATATTATATATTAAAACGGTATATTTAGATACAGGGTTATTTCAATAGTAAACATATTTATTTGACTGAACAAATATATTTCAATAGTGAACGTTCTATTTCAATGTTGTTCAAAACTATTTCAAAATAAACWTATTTATTTCAATACTCTTGCTTTAATGCAATTCCTACAAACTTTTGTTTATTGTTTACAAATGTATTTAATATTAAACCTTTAAAATAAACATCTTATTTACTTAAAAGTGCAAAATTTTAATAATCTGAAATTTTTAATAAACTATTTGTGTGTTTTAAAATGTTTAATAAGTATTAAATGTATTATAATAAAGCATAGTTTGGAGTATTGAAATAAATAAGTTYACTTTTGAAATAGATGTGTTCACAATGAAATAGATACGTTCACTATTGAAATATATTTGTTCAGTCAAATAAATATGTTTACTATTGAAATAGTTTTGAACAACATTGAAATAGAATGATGAAACCCTGTAACTATTACCGATAATTAATTAGTTATAACAGTGTTTACAATGAATGACATATTTGTATGTTTACAGTATTTTTATATCGTATAAATCGGTAAATAGATAACATATTCAAAGGGTTTGGAACGATTAGAGACGTCCAAATACAAGGGGTGGTAAAACATGAAAATGTATAAAAACAGTGGTTAGGGTGGGGGTAGCAAATTAAAAATTAAAGTCAAAATATTTTTATCGTATGGATAAAAGCTCGCATTATTAACCATGACTTACATATCTCCATACGGGGAATTAAGCAACATTTAACGGTATTGCATTTGTGGTATAAGTAATAGCATTTACCGTATAATTTAAATGACAAATTGTAATATTTTATATTTAATATAATACTGTATATTATTAATACCATTGGATCACAAATCTACAAAATTAAACTCAAAGTTGTTTACTATTTCACATATATTTTTTAATTACCATAAATACATTTTTATAGATAATTTTTTTTAATTAATTTAAATAAATTAAAAAAAATTAACTATAAAACATATGTGTATAATAATACTGTGTTTATAATGTTGTAACAATACTAACTGATAATCAAGTTTTTTAAAGTTCATATTGAAATACTAAAAATAATTGTCAATGGGTTTAATAAATAGTTTTTATTATCTAAACTCTACACATATTTTAATTATATAATTATTATTTTACCATAAAATTGRTGAGAAATTAATGTAAATTAAAAGTAATGTAAATAATTTAAATCAAATTATATTTATCGGTTGCTATCAGTGCTGCCGTCGGGAAACTGGGCGTCAGTGCTATTGTCGAGTAGACTTCCGCTCATATTAGACGTGTCATCAGTAATACTTGTTCCCAATTGTGACATATTGTTGTCTTCTTGACTACATTCAGAAAATCCTGTAACCGAGTCTTCATTGGCCGCCGATATCATAGACGGCGTCAAAGTCGACGACCGCGAGAGTGACGATGACTTTGTTTCGCGAATATTCTCTTTATTGTTGTTTATAGAACTCGAAGAAGTGGTTTTGCTTTTGGATCGACCGCTCTTTAAATTAAGAAAAAACATAACATTATTAGTCTGTTAAGTGATGCTAATGTGTTAATGAAGATGACATACATTGTCATAGTTGGTGATCGGAACCCATTTATATATCTTCATAGATGTGTCACCGATTGTCACCCATTTCTTCTCCCATTTCCTCACTTTATCGATCGCTTGCATCACTCTCTTGATGTCATCCTTAGCCCTACTTCTGGTCTCAGCTCTGACAGAGCGCGACATCATCTTTGCGTTGAAGACAACACTTAATCAAATCAATCAGTGGTTTGTTGTTGTCTTCAAACACATGAATCACTCAATGATTGTCACTCTTTGTTATCGACATTCAAACAGACATTCATTGGTGTCTGTCATCAATAACGTCGTTATATTATTCAATATAATGTAAATTTATAATCATTTTTATATAATATATTTTTKGRTAACTGCGGTCCGCAAAGGTAAAAGCTGCGGTCCCGTATTACACGATGATCTTGCCCTTAATAGAAAAATTGTAGATAATAAAAAGTTGGTCTGATATAAAAAATTATCCGTTCAAATATATATAAACGGTACAAAATGATTTTGGTCAGTTGCGGTCATGTTGTAGATGAGTTTATGTTGAAATGTATGGTCAAAAAATATCTTACAACCAGGGACCGTATAAAAAAATTAAAACTTGTATTTTATAATTAATAATGCTGCGGTCAGCCATATCTCGAATATGATTGGTCATATCTTGCGGTCAAATATATTAATGTTGTAAAGAATAAAAAGTTAGAAACAAAAATTAACTTGAAAAAAATCTAGGTCCACCAGGGGACACAAGAAAAAATTAAAACAAAAATTTTATTTTAAAAAATTGAGGTCAGTGATTAACTGGAAGACCAGTCGTCAGATCTTGCTGTCAAACATATAAAAATTTTAGTTTATAAAATGATAGAAGCATTGGTACACTTGAAAAATTTTTTAATCTATTAGTAGCCTTAGAAAAAAATAAAACTCATATTTTTTATTTTAAAAAAGTGGCGGTCAATGATTATCTGGAGAGTTATTGTTACTTTCTTTTAATTGTCGACAACTTTTATATGTCCACAATATCTGACAATGGTTTTTTTTAAAAATCGTTGACCGTTATTTTTATAAAATAAAAAATATAGGTTTTATTTGTAATGTGGGTCCCCTAGTAGACCTAAATGAGTTTATCTGAACTATTGTTCCAAACATAATTTCTAAAACTTTTATATGTTTAAGAAAAGATCTAACAATTGGTTTTCCAGAATTCTCATGGTGAACTTAGATTAGAAGTTATTTTTTTTCTAACTTTTTATTCTTTACATTAATATGTTTGACCGCAACATTTGACCAACCAAATTCAAAATATGGCTGACCGCAGCATCATTAGTTATAAAATATGTTTTAATTATTTTTATGCGGTCCCTGGTGATCGGATTTTTTATGACTATATATTTCAACATTCCTTTTTGTTCTCTACAACATTTTTATTTGTGACCGCAACATATGACCAACCGTATTTGGTACCGATGAATTAGCGGTTTTAATTTTTTCTTGTGTCCCCTGGTAGACCTAGATTTTTTTCAAGTTAATTTTTGTTTCTAACTTTTTATTCTTTACAACATTAATATATTTGACCGCAAGATATGACCAATCATATTCGAGATATGGCTGACCGCAGCATTATTAATTATAAAATACAAGTTTTAATTTTTTTATACGGTCCCTGGTGGTCAGATATTTTTTGACCATACATTTCAACATAAACTCATCTACAACATTTCTATTGGTGACCGCAACGGCAATCTGACCAACCGTATTCGAGATATCGCCGACCGTAGCATTTGGTACCGTTTATATATCGGTTTTAATTTTTTTATGCGGYCCCTGKTGATCGGATAATTTTTTACTTATCGGAACCCTAGACCAACTTTTTATTATCTACAATTTTTCTATTAAGGACCGCAAGATCTGACCACCCGTTTTCGTGTAATACGGGACCGCAGCTTTTACCTTTGCGGACCGCAGTTAAGGCATTCCCTATATTTTTTGATAAATACCTATAGATTTTGTTGAATATTACAAATATTAAAATGATTTTGTGATAATTAAATTTTGTATAAATATATTAAAAACATAAATTAAATTAAAGTACAAATATATTAATAATTTGTAACAAATATAATAAAGATTCACAAAATCTTTTTCTTAATTATATAATAATTATATATAATATTGTATATAATATACAATAAAATTTATTATTAAAAAGTTTATTAGAGGTTCAATATTTTAGAAATAGTAAATTATAATTAAAATGAATTTTTAAAATGTTTAATTTAAATAATATTATTTTATTACTTTTAATATTCATAATTGTGTGAAATGTATAAAAAATCAAACAAATTATTTGACTTTTTTATAGTTAAAATGAATTAATAATGTATTAAATAGAGAGTATATGAATCATACTTATGATATGATAATTGCTTATTAATAATGATTACAACCTCAACACTATTAAAGCATCGGAAACATGTGTTTTAATAGTATTATTATTATTATTATTATTATTATTATTATTATTATTATTATTATTATAATCATTATTTGTATAGTTATTCATATTTGTTGTATAACTATCTCTTGAGATATCGTGTTGTTGTATATACTTCTTCTTGATTCTGGCGTAAGTGTCGAACCAATTCTTTCGATTTTCTCCGCCAAGACTTTGAAGAAATGATGGTTTCATGAAAGGCATGGATTCATTGATTTCATCCATTCTTAGAGAGTATTTAATAGGAGACTGTTTGGTGTTGTTGTCATCATTTGTCCGACGATTTATTGATTGCTTTATTGTTTTTAGTATTACTTGAGAATTGTTGTCCAATTTTTCTTTGCTATTAAACGATCTCTCAATTGGTGAACCAATTGGTCCCAAAACAATAGGTTTATTAAATTGATTAAATGTAAAGCCATTATTTAGTTTTGAATTCAAATTGATAACTGAATTATCAACACTTCTTTTATTTTGTGAAACATCTTTTAGATTTGAATTTTTCAATTTCGAGTCATTTATATAACTAATTGTTTTAATTTTCTTAAGTCTTGTACCAAATTTATAATTTGACAAATCATTACCTTTTCGTTTAGTATTAATTTGATTTAAAGGTGTTTTCATTCCCATAATATCATTGAACGGAAACTTTAAAACATTAGGAAAGTTAGTAAAAAACTTTGGATTTATATTTTTGGGAAACAATTTAGTATACATTGTATTAGTAAATGATGGCAACAAATTAATGGGTTGTGCGGTGGGGGCTAATGAGGGCACACTTATAATATTTGCACCGAAATTTGGATTTAAATAAAAATCTTTATGAACCACACGAGGCTTTCCAAACATATATTCAGTTTGTTTATAGAAAGTAGCGACGGGTAGTGTCCCGGCTATGTATGTCGGTCTCAATAATATTATGGGATCCGGTTTTATTCCCGGAATCGGTACAGTTGGTAATTGTAATGGTAATTGTGCTGTATTTGCATAATTCAATGAATTTATAGGATTATATATATTCTTAATATTTGGTCTAAAATCTAACTGATTTGAAGGTACTTCAAGTTTAGCTCCAGTTTCGATGTCATCCCAATCGACACTATCTTTACTTATATTATTTTGTTTAACATTCAACGCGTCTTTAGTTTGGTTTTTGATATTTTTTTCATCAGACAAACTATTATCCGATAGATTGATGTTTTTAGACATTTGAAAACTAATTGGTGACAAATGAAGTGATGATTGGTTTGATTGAATATCTATAGAGTTGTGGTTCACTTCTATAGGTATTGATTTTAATCCATACCAACCATTAGATGATTGATTTGTATTGTAATATTGAGCATTAAATCCCTTAAACGGTTTTATTGGAACTGTTGATGCATTATCTTCAAGAGATGTTGCAGATGGTGATAAATTTATGATATTTGTATTATTTAATAAATTCAAATCATTTGTTGAACCATTGATAGATCCAATCTTTCTTTGTGTATATAAAATAGCGTTTAAATAATAATATTTGTGAGACTCTTGACATAAGCTGTTTGGTTGAGACATACTGTGATCACAAGTCATCTCTTTTTGATTGAATATTGAATTTGTTGGACATATAAAAGTAAATCTAAAACCATTTTGTTTACAGTAATGAAAGATATGACATTCAAACTCAATGTCCGCATAGTATCCTTCAAACATTCCTCTGCAGTCAAACTTCACTAAAGAGAGAATCTTTTGAAGAGTTCCACCTTTAGAATCTGTTTGTCTTTCTTTCTCATCAATTAATGGGTCCAACTCTGAGGGAATCTAACAAATTAACAATATATTAAATTTACAATAATTTATTTACCATATTATTACCATAACTATTATAAATTTACAGTATAACACATCTAATGCTATTTAAATGTCACAAAATTTTTGTAATGATTTTAAAGAATATTTCACACAAATATTAAATTCACTTACATTTAAAATATTATATAGAATTTATATTATAGATTACTTGATTCAATAGTAAATTATTGCATATAAAATAATATCAATTATAGAGTGAAAATACAGCAATCTATTGAAAATTATTTCTTTATGCCATACAATCATAATTTTATTAAAAATATATTATTAAAAGATAAATTGACAAATAGTATATACATTATACATAAGTATAGTACGGAAACTATATATTGAATTTTAATTTTTTTTTTTAAATAACATAAAAAACATAAAAGTTTCAAATAATTTTCAATAAATTACCTTTTGTTTGAACTCCTCATTTTCAATCGATGTATTATTGACTGAATTAATGGCATAATTGATGGAAATCACAGAATAAAATGATAATAAATTTACTAAAATTATTAATATATACATTTGATTTTTTAATAGTGATTTGAGCCAACTGTTAGACATTAAGGAGATGCCATATATGCTTAAAACTTATGATATTTTAATAAAAGCTCTTTTACTGTCAGAAAATTTTAAGTATTTGTTAACTAATTGTGACATAATATGTGATTTAAACCGTTTATTTCTTAACGAGTAATTTATTTCTGAAATGAGTTTAAATACATTGAAAACAATGTCTCGATTCAATGATTTTTCCATTTAACGGAACCCTAAGTATATCCAAAAAATACTAAACTAAAAGTTAGTCTAATTTTAGATGAAATGAACGGAATATAAAATCTATTATATTATATCTCATAAGATCTCTTCGTTAGTCATATTTTCTTAAAACCTATTTTTATGTCTGAAAGTAATGTCAGCTATGGGTCTCTAAAACACTAGTCTTAGTTAAACTGCTTTAAGCTATTCAATGACCCAATAATATATCAATTTTGAAAAATACAAATAATACTTCATTTTTTGGCGAAACACCTTATATTTTGTGTTTAAACTATTGGGTCTTAACTATCAAATCAAACCAAATTAGCCTAAATGTTACAAAATAAATATAGGCTTCAATTGATTATAATTATGTTTATAATATTTCAATGTCAATACTAAATCATACAGAAACTGTGATAAACTTTGCATATAATTAGTTTTGCATCACTATAATGATCTATTTTTTTGCTAAAATATCTTTTTATTTATTTTAACCTCTTTATTTAAAATGCATTATTATGATAAAAAATAATAATTACCTGTATGTATTTTATACATTATTGATAATAATAACAAAAATGCAAAATAAATCGTTTGGAATAAATTAAATTAAATGATTAAAATATAATTTATTTGATGACAATAATAAAAAGTTTGAGATGAATAGCAGTTATAAATAATAACACATTTTTATTACAATTAAATTTATTTATTTGAAAAATACAGCAATTATTTAAATCTGTCATCTCTTTAATATCTCTTTACATACAAATTATGATCAGATATATCGACTCGTGAACTGTTGGATCAATTGAGACCCAAAAACAAACGAAGCGGCCGTTAAATACCCTGATTCAGAGCACATTGTCTTTAAAACATTTGTCTCTTTTTAAATACAATATAATTATTTTTTTGTTAAATTAAAGTTTTTGCACATTTATTTGTTTTTTACACTAACAAATTTTTATCTAACTTTTTAAAATTCATATTATCTTTATTTTGTAATATTTATAATAWTAATATTAATATTTTAATATATTTTGTAAATATATTTATATATCAAATCTTAGAAATAATTAATGAAATGACAATAAAAGTGATGACAAAGACTTTTTTAAATAATATGAGACAAGACTCAGACAATTGACATTAATATGATATATACATCACTAATATTGTGTTTTCATTAAATAATTCTCAAAAATTATAATTAACATTAATTTGAAGTCCCATTTGCGCCACAAGTCATCAAACAATAACCAAATTATTCTAATATTTACAATAAATTTTTAATAGAAAGTTACAGAAAGCAGTTATTCAATGTTTTGTTGAAATATCTCATATATTATATACTTTTGACGAGTAATTTAACCAATCGATTGCATTACAATTAATTAATCGACTTATAACCGGCTTATTGTTTAGGCACTCAAGTCGTAAGTTTTTTAAAAATTAATATTATAATAGTTTGACACTTTTATATACAGTATATTTGTCTTAGATTTGTAATTTAATATAAATACTTTAATTTTTATCTTGTGATAACACACAAAATTATCATATATTATCATATTTTGTTATTTAATAAATATCTAATTAAATTTAATTATTAAAAATTTGGCTTAAGGCACTTATAATCATATTAATATAATTAAAAATTGGTAGTCTTGTTCACTATATTAAAGTCCTTATTTGTAATGCAATTAATCGATAGTTTTAGTTTTGATTTACAATATGAGATATTTATACATAATAATAGCAAAAGTGTTATAAAAACAGATAATAATTAAAGTTTAGACTCAAACATATCAAACACTTGCTATTAACTAGAGATCAAAATCAACTGACTGTCAGCAATCGAGTCATAAATTTATTATTATCTTAGATTTAAAACACTTTTTTACAAAATAAATATTAAATCAATATTTTTGTACATCTTTTCACCAAATTGTTAAATTTATATACCAGTTATGTATATATAATTTCTGCAAACATTGTGTAATACGATTACAATGTATATAATAGCAATAATATTTGAAAGTTGTTTTATAGAAATTTTTTCAAAACTCTGTGAAAATATTATTTGAAAGTTTATTATAGAAGAAAAATAACTTTATTTCAGGCCTAAAGATGTTATTTCTCATTAAATTTCGTACAAATAGACAGAAAACTAATTATCTGTTAATATATTTTGTAATATTATTTTCTAATATAAATGTATAGATAATTCTTGTATAACTGATTTGTTGTGGAGTTTATGGTCAGATTTAAGTCAGACCAGTCAGAAAAATAAATAATTTTTTTTATAGAAGTTGAGTCAAAATTATAGATTAGAGCAAATATTTTGTGTCTATATATTATAGTTAACATTATATATCGTAATCATTATTATAATTTGCATCTCATAGTTAGCATTAATTTTTATACATTAAAATTATCAATTTGTTAAATCAGAATAAACCCGTTAACTAAAATATAAATAACAGCGCGTAATATCACAAATGTTTGGGATTTTTATGCCATCTCTCACTTTCCATCACTAATTAACTCATTAACTTAACACTAAAATCTTATTCAAATCATACACTAATTACAATTACTATATATATATATATATAATGTTTAATAAATATTATATAATTATATCTTTCTATTCATTTCAATGTTAAACTCATTCCAAACCTTTCATTCAATGTTCACTTTATATGGCATTCGTTTATAATTTAAATTATTTTTTCAATATAATAGCAGATATTTATCATTTTCATCAAAAACTTTAATAAATGTGTTCTATGAGTGTGATATTAGATCATATATTAGATCATTTTATATTCAATCAAATTATTATCTAACCGTACAACAAATCATATCTCATATAAAACATTAGTTAATCACTACTGTATACAGTACATGTATATATATATATATATAAATGTTTCAAAAACATTTGTATATAATTATTTTCACCTGAAATCCCAGCAAATAAAACTAAATATATACTGTATTTATATATTATTATTTATATATATCTAAGTTAGTAGTACTTTTCATATAAAGAAACAAAATTAATAATTTTTCATTAAATATTAAAATAATGAAAGAATAAAATTAAAAAACAATGTAATGAATTCAATAGTTATGTCTCAATAAAAATGGGAACAATAATTAATAAGTGTTAGTTATAATGTGAATATGGGATGATCTCATATGATTATATTTATAATGCAAATGATCGATAAAAGCATCTAAATTTTTTTTGGCTTTATATCAATATATTAATAATTGTTTTTAAAAAAATGATTTCATAAAGTATTGATGCAATCTTGCAGTTTTGCGGCAGTTTTTAATTTAAAAATGTATTCACTTTTTAATAATAATTAATTAAATATTAATGGTAACTTTCTGGAATGTTTTAATTATATAAATAATTGTCAAAATGTGATAAATTGGTAATTAAAAGCTATTTTAATTTGTAAATAAAAAGCAAAAAAAATAATTATTATACAATATCCTTTTTAAAAATATATTTATAAATTTCAATATAAATAAATCTCTATAAATTAAACATTTAAATTATTGATAGTTGCTTTGAATTAATTTGATGATTTAGACAATTGATATTTTGTTTGCATAACTTAATGTCAAGATTAGCACCAAATTAAATAGCATGTGATTGAAATTAACTGCAAAATTGCACCAAAACTGCAGAAATGGACGTATGTATGGGTGTTGTTGTTGTTGTTTTTGCTGTTGTTGTTGTTGTTGTGATAATGATTTGTTTTTAATAAGAAATGACAATTAACTTGTTTTAGATGGCAATTATACACTCGTATTGATGCAAATGATGCCATATTTTGAACATTGTAGACATGTATTTGATTTGAAGGCTTTAGCATTTAGCAAATGATTGCCTACAATATACTATACTATACTTTAAATGAGTTGATGTTTTGAAAAAATAAACAAATAGTTTGCTCTTAGCAAAAATAATCAATAATTATAATAAAAATAATTAATAATATTAATATTAATAGTATAATAATTTTAAATATCAAACATTGAATGGAAAGGTAGTTTCACCGGTAGCATTGCTAAGCGAAATGCAAAGTACATAAAAATGAGAGTCGTATCAGTGGTCAGTGTCATTGATAGGTATATCCAGCACTTGCAATGTTTAGATTGTTGTGCGTTACGGGAGATCTTCAAAATGCATTCAATACTTAGTCTGTTGTTTCAAACCAATGACATGACCCGACACGACATCTAAATTAACAATTAACATAAGGTATGGGATGTGTATGTGTTGTGTCTGAGTCGATACAATTGAAGCTTAGTATCACTGTTGCGGTCAAAGCCAAACAATTTGAGTGTCCTTTTAAAATGAGTTTTGACAATGATTTCAATGGATAGGCACTCAACACAGTTCGGTAATAACAATAACTTTGCACTACTCCTGGATGTCCCATATTTCGGCCAAAAACGGCGGCAACTTCTTGTTTTGGACTTTTAATGAGAAGCACATCTCGGAGTTGATGTTACCCAATGTCCTCAGTTCTGTGAGTATGGCTAACAGTCGTGCAAAATAACATTTGCCGGGAGGTCTATGATTATCAACGTATGCCCTCAATGTATCGATATAGAACTCTTGGATCTTCTCAACCTTTTTAGGTTCCATCAGTGATGGCCTCTCTGTTGGATTCAAAATAAAATAAATGATTAAATAATAAGTAATTAATGAAATATATATTATGATAACTAACCACTAAATATGACGATAGCTGTAAGGAGTGCGTACTCGGCGTTGTCTACTTTAAGAATACACATCTGTCTACAAAAGTTGAATAAAGCATCGGCTGAGTCGCCGACACTGGCACTCCTGTAGTTCTCACGGGTGTACGGCTGGTTATTGGCGTACACTATCGAGTCTGTCTTTATGTCATATTTGCGGGAACACCTCAACATCATCACTTCACTTGAACAGGCCTATTAAATCATTAATATATTGTCATTCAAACAATTTWATTACATATTAGTTATATTCAATATATACCTTTAGAAGTGTGATTTGATCCTCCCTTAAAAGTGTGTCAAATCCGGGCACTCTTTTAGAGAACTCGACGATAAGCTGTACCGTCAATATTGTCATTTCGGTCACGTGTTGAAACCTTTTCAAACTATCGGATTCACTCTCTCCTAATGGAAATGGCTGTTAAATGACAATAACATTGATTAATCATATAATTTAAAAAATCAAATAAAATAATCAAATATTACCGTAATTTTCTTAACGTCCTCTTCAGATGGAGATTCAAATTCTTCCTGAAAGTAGACTAGCTTTTTGATCATCTCGTCCTGAGGATTGGTCAACGGCTTAATAACATTCGAGTTTATGTTAACCGTATTGGATGTCAATATACTGGGCTTCTCCTCTATTTTTTCGGGACTCATACCATCTTTTGTAGTACTGTTAGGTTTATCCTTATCTTTTTGTGCTCTCTTTGATTCCCTTTTAATGGCGCATTGATATTCAGGAACCACACATTCAGGTCTCATACCAACACTAAGACATTTCTTAAGTCGACATTCTTGGCATTTTCGTCTCATATACATATCTATTTCACAACTGTTCCCATATTTGCATTGATATACAGCATTCTTCGTTATACTTCTTCGAAAGAAACCTATTCATCACAATATATATATACCATTAATTGATAGGTCTGTACATAAAAACAATGTAAACATACCTTTACATCCTTCACATGTCAGTGCATTGTAGTGATATCCTGAAGCCCTATCACCRCAAACAAGACATAGTTCCTCCTGTTGTCGCGGTGCCGGCCCTTTCTTTTTCTTGGGATCTCCAAAACTATCCACACTATAGCATCCATTGACACTATTTGGAGGACTCATGTCTTCTTTGCCTATTATCACATAATAAAACATTCATTAAATTATAAATTAATATATTATAAAAACAATAAATTAATAAATCAATTGAATTTAATTGACATTACATCTGAATAACATGTTTTAAGGCAATTAGTTTAGAAACATTGATAAACTAAACAAATGGTTATTATTAATACATATTAGTAAATATATACAACAAATGGATCAATAGGTGAGATGTGATCACTAGAGAGTATGGCAATGGATTCAAACACATTCACTGTTTGTATAACTCAATCAATGCTATGATTACGTCAAACATTCAGAGACTGTGTGTTCACTATTTGTGCCAATAATTTACTTTCATCTCAAATGGAGATCACTTAACAAGTCTAAGATATAACTTATTTTATAACGCGTTTTCCGTATAAAATCTTTTACTGTTATATATTGAATACATTAGATATACACAAAAATATGGAGACTTTAAAGACATACATTGCTCTCAATATACGGATATATTGTCTATCTATAAGAATGGGTCAGTTGTGTGAACAAAATTAGGCGAAAAAAAGGAAAGACGGAAAGGAAACACTGTTTTGTATGTTGTGTTGTATTTTTTGGGGAAAGTTATAGCACTGCTCTCCAGACATCCTGACCTTATGGTCACAACTTTTCAAGTTTAACTCTGAAGAGCAGCTGGGGATACAACTCACCAATAGATATATTGGGGACTATTGGGAGGGGATTGCAATAGTCTAACAGTGAATGAGTGAGTGAAAGAAAGAAAGAGAGAAAGAAAGAGAGAGAGAAAAAGAAAGAGAGAGACTTAAGATGAATGGGAGAGAAAATATAGGGAAATCGTCAAAATAAATATAAAGCTTTTTTCAATAAAAATTTCTTTTAAGTTAACATTTAATTGTCACCCAAATACATATAATAACAGTATTTGACACAACATTTACTATTATATGTTGAATCTCACATTTATTAATAATGTAACTTAAATATGAAATGTTGGTTCATTGCAATGTTATTTCCTATAATATTTGCAAATATTCAATATTATAATACATTAGATATGTGTGTCTGACATGAGAAGGGAGCAGTTGTTGTGTTGGCATCAAGTGGTGAACCAATACATGAGGAATTGGAACCATTGGATGTATTGGTGCCTCAAGACCTTGAGGGCCACTAAAGTTGCTATATTTATGTGCTCTTTCTCTCACTTTTGCCTCAAACCATATTACGATTACACAAGACTTAAGAAACCATAGATAAGGAGATGACTCGCTTTTTAAACAACTTTTAAGTAAAGCAAATAACAATCATTTTAGTGAATGATATTTTGTCAAAACATTGTTTTAAGGCATTCATATGAAAATCAACAAAAGTTAATCTAAACATAATTTTATATTTATCTAATACAGTACATAGCTATCAATAATATTCAAATAAAATAATTTTAGAAAATATTAAATCCATAAAACATATAACTATATATATAAATAATGTTAATTATAGTTAACAAATTGTCTTTATTGTCAATTTTATTATACATATCATATGTATAAATAAACAAATTTATTAAGTAATAATCATATTAAATATATAAAATAGACAAATATTATTTTGGTCTCACTTTTAAGTGATTAATCAACATTTATTTATCAAAAATAGTGCTCTCATATATCATAACTTTGTTATCATATATTATATAAGTTATTATTATATAAATAGTTTATATTTTTGAAAAACAAATACTCATTAAATATTAAATTACATGTTATTTAAACGATTTGATAATTTAATAGAAATCTAAGTTTGTAAACAAAATTGAGATCCGGAGCACATCCTAAACACTAAATTAAGTGATTGTTTGTTTTGAGACAAGCGGTCAATCATTTGTTGAAAAATAGAGTATTCAGTTGTTGTGCAAAAATACTGTACAACTTTTTAAAGCTATAAGTGAGTCAAAGCCGGGACACATACATCTAGTTTTGTAAATAAATATAGTAATTATTATATACATATCAGTGAGTCAACCACTAAAGAGAGAGAGAGAGAGAGAGAGAGAGAGATTTGGTAAAAACAAACCAAATACACCAAAAACAAATAGCATAATATTTAGTGAGTACTGTAGTTATAAAAGCAGTGATGACATTACAAGTTTGTTGTATAAAATGTTTATTGAAAATGTGGTAAAAGCAAAATAGCTTTAGGCTATAACCAACACGTAATCCTAGTTTGCATTTATAAGACATAGAAAATGTCTCAAATCATATACTAATATCTTTTTGACATTAAATCCCTAAACCAAAAGTGAGTCAATATTTATGAAGTCATTGGCAAAAAACATCCAAATTTGCGGTCATTTATTGGCAAACATTTGTTTGTTTTCAAAGTCATCATATTATAGGATAATAAATATATATATATTATAAACTAAATACTGTTGAAAACTTGATTATATTATTAAATTATTTATATTAATTAATTTTGTATAAATAGAAATGCTATCAAATAATAAAAAATGTTGTTAACTGTCATTTAATCAAATTAATGGTAACCATGTTATTGTATATATATATATTAATATAATATTAATATATATACAATATGTATAGTCTATAGAGTATGAGTAGTGTAATGCAATGTCCTAATTCAAGGGCATATAATATTATTAATAAATATAATACTATTTCAATTGGCATTTATTCGCGACATTTTGATTGCCATCATTACCACCAATAAGACTGCTTTTAAATACAAACCTATAATGTACTCATACTATAAATAATTGTATAATTGTTGTCATTTTATTTTTTTAATATCTTTTAATGAGCGATATATAAAATTGTATATCTATGTCTACAAGTCAACTATATTTGAATAAAAGCTCATTAAATATAAAGTTATTGCATCTAATAAGCTGTAGATAACATACACTCGTAGTTAGCATGAGATCGATATCAAAGTGTATTAACCGATAAATCTAATGACATTCACATTGTTTATCACTGTTTTTATAAGAAGCATATACTGTATTATAGTATAACTTATATTGAATGATCAAAATAGCTATATATTGTACAATATAGTAAATTATATGAAAATTATATTACATTTGTCAAACATAGATTGAATTCAATTAATATAAAACAATGATTGCAGTGTTTCATTAGAATCATACCATATTTACTTATATACTATATTCAATATTTTTATCATATTTGATAATTAAATTAAATTAAACAAAGGTTATATTTATATAAGTATTACATTATATACTGTATATATGGTATATTTATATAAGCCAAATATAGGACTGTAGCAAAAAACTAATTTATCCAATAAATCTTAAAAATTTGTATATATGGTGTAAATATACTGTATATTTAAATATATAATTTTACTGATTTGTTAAGACAGACACACAACGAGAAAACTGTGTATAAAATGCTTGATTTGTGTAAATAAACATTAAGTGCACTAAACTTTAAGCAATTTTCTTATATAATTTTAGATTCAATAACAAACTAAAAGTCAATGTTAAAGCCAAGTGCAGCCAAACATATTAATATAACATTTTTATAATTTTATTACATAATGTAGCATTTAAATCAACAATAAACTGTTATGCATATGTTATATATATACCCTTATAAATACTGTATGTAATAATATATGCAACATTTGAAATTCAATTTGTAACCTATTTTTGTGACAACTAAAACATTAATACATATTGAATAAGATGGACCAGTTTTGTTTATACATACAGTTATCGTATATTAAATCAAATTTAAAAAACTAAATAATTTTTGATATCTTAACTCACTCTCTATCTTATATTAAATACAATATTTTAAATTGAAAAAATTTTGTGAAACAATTAAATGCAACTAATTTTAAAATGCATGAAACAGACAACTCAAGTAATGAGTATAAGACAAGCAAACGCTAACTAATTCATTATATTGTCAATTGTTCTCTTAGTTGAACACATTTTCATGAGATAATAATAAAGTCAGTGCTTTGATCAATGCATTTAAAAAGGCTTTAAATATACGTTTTAATAGCTTTTTAGGTCAAAACATTATTATCTAAATAGCTTGCAATTCAAAATTTAAATTAATGAAATAGGAATTAATGGATTTAGAAAAATAAAAAGAAAAATATAAAAAAATATAATATAAGAAATAAGAAAAAGTTATAACCATTTTCATGATCAAGGTTTCAACAAAACTAGTATTTTAAGGGTGAACTCAATTCCCAAATAACAAGTGATTATTGCGGCCAACAGTTTGCTATCAATTAATTGTAAATACAGTATTACAGTCACCTATTTGTTATATTTTTCATACCTTAACAAATCTTTCAATATAACACAATATATAAGCTATTCAAGCATTGATAGGTATAATACTATACTTGTATTGCATAATTAAGTTTGACATCATTTGAAAATAAGTCTCATTTAAAAACATACTAAACATCGAATGAAATTAATAAATCAATGTTAGACATAAAATGTATCTAATTTTCACATTAAATATCTTTTCAATGTTGCATTAGATGAACCATTAATACAACAAATTATTTGCAATCAATGATCAATGATTCAATACCTGAGGAATGAGAAGTAGAGCTCTCGTGGATATCCAGATCCCAGAAGTCGAGATCTACTTCGCCGATCTCAGATGAAGCCAAACTGGGAACCGGACTAATTCCAGTCCCGTTTTGACTGGAAGACACTTCGGGTGAACTTTCGGAAAGACCGGTCACCGATACTGTTGGAGAAGTGCCTGAAGCGGCTGCTGCTTGAAGTGCAGCCCGTTTTCGTGCAATAGGTTGGAGACCACTAACAGATGGACGAGAAGATTCTGCCGGTTCTTTCTTTATTTTCAATGCAGAGCACGGACCTAATCGCATGCTATCCTCATTGAGGAAATCATCGGGAAAAGTGGCCCGTGCTTTTTTATAGCCCGACTCATTTGTCGGCGTATTTGATGACGAACTACCACTGGGA